CATATGCTGCCGTCAGATTTTACTTCAGCTGAAGATGAGTGTACGATAGACGTCGTCCAAAGCAACCGTGGCTCCTTATTTTTCAAGCCCATGAACTTCGTGAGTTTGTTGACGTCTTATTCACCGAGACTTATGGAACTATCTGACTGCGTCCTTCGAAATAGAGTATGAAGTCTGCATTCTATGCCAAATTGAATTTCATTCGAGTTTTCTAGCTGACCGCCGTTCGCTGGAAAACTAGCTCCGCGAAGAATGGAGGCTGAATCTGCATGCACACTCCTGCCAGTTCTACACTCTTAGCAAGTCAAATTGATTCGATATGGGTGAATATGGCTGTAATCTAGCGGTGTACTCGTAACAATGTGCTCTCATAAAATCAGCGACTCAGAGAAAAATTATATATGTTCTTAGAAGTTACATATTATGATTAATTTTCATTAGTCACAAAATTGTATCTATAGCCATTGGTTCACGAATTTCGTACTCAGTCGAGATTCCGCCTACATTTGAGGTGCTCGGGTGTCTACACGTAAATCATTGTCCATTGTTAAATCATCCGAGTTATCGACGTATTAGCGTGGGCAGGTGCGTACGAAGCGGAAGCGAGAAAGTCTGCCTGAGTAGCGTAAATATTGGTGAGAATCCAATGCCCCGAGAACACAAGTGTTCCTCCGCCAGGTTCGTCCGCGAAGGGTTCGTCCGCGAAGGGTGAGTCCTGCCCTAGAAAGAGAACCTAAGCGTAAGAGATCATGGACAGGACAATGAAAGGAAAATGATCTGAAGTATAGCGGGAGCTGCGCCAAACTCAGCTGAACATTTTCAATCTCTTCAAAATGTCGACTGCAAATGCAACCTGGTGATCTTGCAACAATATCATGAAATCTCCGAAAGTTTCGTTGTTTAAGATCTCCGAATGCTTCACATGAGTTATCAGACACCAATAACTTCTACGTATGAACTCAGGGGACAGGGAAAGGAGTTCTTCATTATTCTCAGCGCTTTTCTTCATTTTACTGAAGCTCTTATTCCGCACGTACACATGATTTACATTTCATCTTTTGTAAGAAAATCGAACAACGACGATCTAAAATCAAATTTCTTTTCCAATGGATTAGCGGACGTCTGTTGTGGGAGACAATAATTGTTGATATGAGCTTTACAACTTCAAGTGAGAAACTCATAGCTCACAAAAGGGCATGTTTGTGAGCCGACCCTCGAGTTTTATATGACATACTACACGAAAATCAAGAATCTATGACGACAACTTTCATAATACTAAAAGATTTTCAGGATCTTTTCAAAACAACACTATTGGAGGAGAGTAGATCAGAGGCTTTCTCCATGACTGTTTGCTATTCCAGTTTTGCTTGCAAATTCGATCTCAGTCTTCATACGTTTTTGGGCCCTTGAGATTAGACATGGGCCTGTTATAAGCGGGTCAAGCATCTTACTGTGGTGCCCGGAAGCATTGATCGTTTTGAGAATCCATAGTTCCAGTACCACTTCCGTCTGCCCGGCGCCGATGTCACAGCACTCACAGGATGTTGACAAGATGTTCGAGAGTTACTTCGTGGTGTGATAAACTTCCATGTGGTGATATCCCAATCTCATGAACTAGGTGGTCCTGCGTGTTTGAGCCACATATTTGCGTTGCTCATGTGTATTGATTCCTTGTGATAAGTCCCAATCCCCATTACTTTGGTTGCTCACGGCCCAGCTTGTAAATGTGCTACTTTCGTGCGTGGCACGTATTGAACATGTGGCCTCTGGAGCTTTCACTGGGAAATATTGTTCTCGTCGATCTTCACACTTTTGAGACTCAGTTAGCGAAGGAAGAAAGAGTCTTCTCTACGAATATCATTCCAATCGGCCTCGTTAGAACCGTCTGCTGACTTGATTTTCAGACTACAGTCTGTGGAGGATTCCCAACGGATGTGAGGACGGAGAGGATGATAACATTCAACATTCGAGCGAAAGGTATTCGTCTCGATGAGACTCTACTGGTTGTGGTTGGTTGCTTTCAGTGGATGCGCTTCTGAGATCATGGTGACCAGCAAATGTATTTCTTACTCTGGTCTTCTATCATGAGCTTCTGTGCCCATGCATACTGGCAAGCTTATAAGTGTTGTTCGCACTGACATTCTGGTTATGACAAGCTACCACATTCGTCTCAGGACTTATTATATGAAAAAGGTTGACAGGTCAATAAAGAACGACTGTGTAGGATTCATGATCAACCTCTTGTCCTATAATAGCCGTCTATGTCTACGACCTCAGACTAAAGGTGAGGGTAGAGTGTGCACATTCAAGCACTTGGATGCAACTTTTCTGCTCGAGCTTTCTCTCGTACGGAGGTCGACGTTCGGCGGCTGGTGATCTTTATACAGATACAATTAAAGCATTCGGAAAGTCGAAATGAAAAAATAAGGGACTTTTTACCAATACCACAGAGAATGTCACATTCATGGTGTGAATGATGGAGAGAAGATTCGAGCTTATATCGATGTGCATATATTTATTGCCGATATTATTTGTCATATCCCTGAGCATGCACTGCTCAGATTCAAGTTTCTCGATTGCAAAACTCGATGCTTTCGTCGATGTCTGGATTCTGTTTGATTATTTCCGGAATTTGTTCATCCAACGAAGCCATCACAGAAGTGCATCAAGAATGTTCAAGAAAGTAGTCCCTAAAACTAATCCAATCTAAAGAGGATAGAAACTTTACTTTAAAAAATTAATCAAGTTTTTATTGAGTTTTTCCCTTCAGGTGTTCTATATCAAACCAATATTTATCATCAAGATTGAATTTATTATGTATGTAAACAATAAATATATCTGAACCTTTCGATTGAAAAGTCTCAACCTAAAACATCCGCCGCTGCATCTTACAACGTAAAATTAAGTGATTTGATGCATTATTTCCCTGTGCAAAGAAAATTTTTGCACAACTCCTAACATAGAAAATCCCAAGGACCATGACAAGAGCTTTTGTCTCAAATTTTTAGCATGTTATGGTTAGTGACCACTCATCCCAAGCGCGATTTCTTGGCACTCGTGAACCGAATGGCCTCCCTGCTACACTTTCTTCTTCATCGTTCTCTTTGGCTGCCTGACAGTTCATTAAATTCAATTTACTCTTGGGAACTCATTATGTAGATCGTTATAGATAACGTTGCTTACTCGTTCTTTGGTCAAAATCCTCATCAAAACCCTTGCACATTTGAACTTCTTCACCCGTCACCATCAATATTTCAACTTCTCACTGAAACCTATTTCTTATACAAAAACCAAAAAACTACTTTGCAAGTTAATCTTTATTGTTCAGACAGATATATGATTTTGTATCAACAAAGGTTCTTATTGTTTGGATTAAACAATGCCTTTGCAGAGTTCTAGATAATTAACGATACCTGTTGGACGTATTTATGTTTGTACCTCGTTAACGTTTTAAGGAAATAGAGTGTCATAGTGATGTAGATTGAGAAAATTATGCACGAGGCATCTGAGCAAGTGATAGCTTATGTTACGCTTTTTATCTATTTGCATGTTGGGTTCTGTAAAGTTTTTCAATTATCAACTCGATTACTTTCGAAATTTCACGAGGTGTCCAAAAGTATAGGAAGTTAATCAAATGAAGATGGAAACAATAAACAAATGTGACTGAGTTGAGAAAACTCTGATACAACTGACGAGTCTTTACCTCAGTTACATCTATATCTACTTTGGACTTGATTATTGTAGGATGTTTGTAAATAAATATGCCACTTAATCACATAGTGAAAATATTTCTATTAAGTCTCTTTTAAAGATGATAGGAAAATACATAATCAGATTAGAATGCATAACTGCTCAATTATTGCTTTAGATTATAGGCATAAAACGAAATTTGAAATACCATATCATCTAGATTATTGACTTTGACCTCATAAATCACAAATCAAGTTAAGTAAAATATATAACAACATATGCAATACATTCTAATTAGATAGATCCACTTAAATGTGGACACTTACGGTAATGCAACTACGACATATAGATACTTAATTGGAATGCATTATGGTAAAATAACCAATGTATAGATCCAAAATCGTGTATCAATGAGTTATTAAATATAAAAATCAAAATTTATGCTCTATTATCATGATTTATGCAGTGTAAAGCATTTGTGATATCTGATATTTTCTTTGTACGCTACTTGAAACTTTAGATTATTCATTACTACAAATGTGATCTTTGAATAGGTTTTTGTATCCAATTAATGGAGATACATGTCCCAAATTGGTGTATATAGGAAGATTGTTTGTAAGTTAATTTTTTTTCAATGAATATAATCTTAAACTTATATTTTGAAGAATCGATTAATGTGTATATATATATATATATATATATTCATTAATACATATAAAAAATATCTAATGTACTATTCAAGTTACATTTGAATTTTTCACATTTCTTTAAGATCAAAGTCCAATGTACACAAATATTATTCCCCATAAGTTAGAACCGACGTATATCAATTTTATTCCATGCAAGTTACTGGCAATGACAGGAAAATTCAAACACATAATCATAACAAATCTCATGACAGTCATGAACAATCATTTGCAATACACTGCACGAGTCCGTGGCCTCTTCTGTAGATCAAGTTCAACGCTCCAGTCAAGAAGTCTTGTTACAAAAGCTTTCAAAGATAGATATTTTCAAAGTTGAGTAGTTGAGTGCAAGATTTGGTTGTTTGTTGTTTGTCCAAATATATACACCGTTTCCGAACATTTTTCATAGTGAGAAAACACCATTGGATTTCGCTGAAGCTAGGATACATTAAAACTGGATGGTCTTGAGTTAGAGGAGGAAGAAAGTAGGACATCCATCCCCACTTTACAAGATGGAAAAAGCAAAGTATTGAGAAGGTTCGTGGCACAACCGAAATCCATGGGTATAAACTCGTACTCAAGGATTCAATTGACAAGATCATAGACGACACAACTTGCACATTTCTCAATAAATACAATTTCCTCTATATTGGCCATCCGAGAAAAATGACATCAACTTTGAAGATGCAATGGCACATATGAATGCCAATTTACAGTCTCATGCTAGAAATGACGCTGAACGACCTCCTAATCTTTCAATGGTTGGTGCACTGCCCTCAAGACACCATACTAAAAGAGGAATCTTTGTGCTACTCGATCGCATTAGAAAGACGGCATCGGATTGCAACCTACATGAGTGGCAGTGCTGACTAATTATCTAGCTCTTCAATTGCCCCATGGGCACTGGGGAACAGGCACATTTTAAATTACAAGCCCCATGGCCACTTGCCTCCCCACTTAGGGGGAAAAATTGTGATATCTCGGTGTTGTTAAACCTCGAGTATATGTAACAGCTCTAGGCCACTAATGACAGAACTACTGACGACAGACGTACTCCATCGTTACAAGAAGACGTGGGTTGATAAGTATGAACAAATTCTCTCATTGCTTTGGTGATACAGGCTCTTGCGTATCGAAAGCATCCGCTATAGAGAGGCAAGAGGTGATAGTGGGACCATCTACCAGATGATGATTCCATAACTTCACAAGAAACAACATGAGACACCTGCAAGGCACCGATATCATTATACTTCTATTTCAAATTAATAAAGAAATGGTACTGAGTTTGAAGTTATTTCTTGGAGTAGAGATCAAGGGTATAGAACAGTGGAGACAAATTGAGCTTAATTTTCAGATAATGAAATGGAACTAATACGAAACACTTGTTAATGTACTTCCCTATTCGAAAACAAAGATCTATCCGTATATTTAGCTAGTCTCCCCGTCAGACTTGAGAATATTGACTACTTAACTTAATGGAGCATTCTCAGACAACACTTCAGACAGACAAACATAGCATACACGGACAATCTCCACGGGAATTTATTTCTTTGCCTGCCAACAGCCTTATCCCAAACGTTGCTGATACTTCTCCACACAAAGGTAAACATTTATAAATAAGTTACGATTAGTAAAATTTTAATCTTTATCAACAAAATTTGCAGCGATCAAAGCCCCAGTATCCGAATCTCTAGTTAAACTGACCACTTCAACCCGCTCCAAAAAAGCACATCTGAAGACAAAATCACGACTGAATGTGCGCATCAGAGTTGGAGGAACAATACCTCCGAAGTGCCGGATTGGTCCCAAAGCGCTGGGCATTTTCTCTCGTGAACTCCTTGCATGCCCAAGGACAATGACCATCCGCTAGGACCCTAGAAGACAAGAGACAGGAAGGCTGAGTTTTAAGCGTCCATGTGTGTACATTTATATACACAACATATAAAACTTATTTCAAAAGTCAAAAAATATGGGCAAATGTGAATAAAAGATAATGCACATTTTAACGTATAATCAGCAGACTTTCAGCTTGCCTCTCACCAGATAGAGCTTCAACTTTTGGCTTCTTGCTCTGTGTACTCGAACGTCTAATCATTATTCTATCCATTACAACCACGGATACCTCTTATCTAATGGATAAGATATAGTGGATGAGGATGGTAGAACAATATGATATAACTCCTCGGGCTATAAAAGGGTACCTCAGAGAAAACTAGAGTTTTTCGTTGATCATTCTGGTGGAATAATATGTTCTTTGAGTTCATGGATACTTCTAAACTATGTGAATGTCCTACGTTCATTTTTCCACATTCGGATTTCACTAATTGTTACTTCGCACACTCGCTCTCCCATCATAGTTTTCAATCAGCGTTTCCCTATCACAAGGCGTGGGTACCATTCTAAATAATGGTACTTTGACATTCACCCTGGCGCAGTGAATCTTTCAATTAGTATATCTGAACATTTCCATATAAACTAGTTTATCAGGTGAGGTATCAGATTACGTGATGGAAAACTAAGGCAAACCTTAGTTTCCAATCACGTAAACTGATACCTCACCTGATAATTCTCTTTCTAACTGGAAAAAGCCAGCTTAACCGGATATCACCGACAAATATTTCTACTGAGGTCAAGTCGATCATTCTTCATCAAAATCTTGCATCTCCATGGGTTCAAAAAATGCTTGAGAAACAGAATGTCTGAATGCAAAAGTTACAACATCATTCTATATATAACTCTATGGCAGGAAGGTAGAACAAACAAATACATTTATTTCCTCGACATACCTGTTTCGGCGTACAAAGGAATTCCACAGATGCATAACCTCTTTCTCTTCTCCCGTGACATCTACAAAATCATCCAACATCTGGTACCCGACAGCGCATTTAGTCCCTCGAATTTCAGGGAAATAGTCTCCAACAATTACTTCGTCACCGATGCTAGATATTAATATTGATAGTGAGTGATCCACAGCAAACCTGAACTACAACATCACACTCTGAAACCTCGAACATGGTTGATGAAACCATACCCTGCGATCTTCTAAATCTGCGATCGCGGCGTCAACCTCATCTTCGCTGTCTCTATCTCCAAATAATTGCTCAGCATCCATGGGCTGCAGTCACATTGACACGTGAGACACTCAAGACATTCCATACTAAGCACACTAACAATATGGTCTGTTGATGGATTACAAATAACCATTATTAAACTTAGAAGCAAGAACTCTGGGGTTCTACATACTGACTAGTTACCTGAGCTGTATGTGAGTGAAAATATTGTCGTTTCTGCAACGATGCGTGGCTGGAAATCATCACCACAACACGGTTATACATTGAACTTCTACTCCAAAAACTACCATAGCACTAACATAACATCCACACTTGCGACGTGTAAATTAACTGGAAGAAAGTCTAAAGGTCCAGAAAAGTTTATCCAGTAGACACGGGGGATGAGCGGTGTAAAATGCACTGGTGTATAGAGAAATTTTGCCCAATAGCTTTGAACAATAATGTACATACTTAACCAATATAGTCTCTCGACCCAGTAAACCAGCCTTACATAACGTTGCGACAATATCAGCTAAGAAAACCATCCTATTGAACTTGCGCATATTTCACGAATCACAAGCTTCTTACCTTTTCGAAAGGTCTGGCCGGTCAGGTAGTGCCCGGTTCGGAACAAGTGCGCTCGGTTGCAGTGCACAGTCTTCAATGGGAGCACCAGCAGCTGCAGCACATGCTCCACCTTGAGTTGAGTTCGGACGGGCTCGTGCTTGAGCCCGCTCACCTAAAACGCCTTTCATTCGCTGCCTTTTTTGGGCAGAAACGCTCCTTTGTTTCACTATGTGTCCAAGATTCTCACCATCCGGGACTTTGCCGGCTCGTGTTTCATTTTGTTGAAACTGGGCTTTATACCCTATTTCTTTTCTTTGATGCATATCGGCAGTTGCATCAGATCCGGTAGACATCAAGCCGTTAGACCCGTTGGAAAGGGAATCGTCTTCTCCCACATCTAAATTAACTCCCACTTGCAGCTGCTGTTCTAGATTTCCAGGACCTTCCATGATTTCTGGCGGTGTGTCGATCTCCTTCGAGACCACTTCATCTGTTGAGTGTGGTTCTTCTACGTTCACTCCATCTTGTACACTGTTTGCATCAGTGACTTTCTCCAGATCTAATGATTGGGCTGGTACTCCAATTTTTTCCATAGTCTCGACATTTGCCTTAATTGGTACCTTCCTTCTCCGAGATCGGCTTCGGGGCCACCTTTACCACACGCAAATTCCCAAATGGTTATGACATCGTCATGACTCTCTGTTAAGGATAAACTCAGGTAAAAGCCGTATCATTAGGATGTCTATATCATAGCCTTAAGGTCAGAACACAGAACCCGTAACGAGTGCTGCCAAAGTTTCAAGCTAAAAGCCCGGGTTATGAGCTATATATCAACGAATATTTCATTCATCTTGTCTAGCCAGACTCAGATGTGCAAACAAATCTCACAATGATGAGGGAGGTGCAAGTTGACCAACTCTATCTTCGTGATAAATCTTCAGAATCCCTGACTTAACAGACACTTAATCAACTTGAAAAAAAATATGAAAAGTTTTAATTAAGCTTCAACAATCCTGCCCTCCGGTACGTTCGGAGAAGTGAAAAATGTAAAACATCACAACTCGATTCATAAGGTGATATGTAAGTAGTCACAAGGATTTAGGCATACGCTTACCAGTATATAAACTCCTTTGATCGCGGTCCATCTAAATCCAAACTGCGAAGAACTCCCTGAGAATTAAACAACAAGCATCTAGTATAAAAACAGGCTGCAGGCGGAGCTCACTTTTAATCACAAAATTGATGTGAATCGCTATAAAACATGAAGAGAACATTGCTTTGCCTTTAGATACATGGCAAAGACACTTAGGATGAAGATAATCAGCGGGAAAAGTGGAGAAAAAGCATCGCATTGGCCTTCAGAGTTTAAATCTTCTCACCGAAGGACCCAAAGGTACATCACTCCTGATACTAACAATAACTATTTGTAGGTCCCCAGAAACCTGGAAGTAGTAAGCCAGTTCACAACAATCACTGAACTCATTAGTGTTTGCCAGTATTTTGAATGAGAAATCTACATACTGCCGCAAAATGGGTGAGCAGAGATAAAAACAACGCACCATGCACTTAAAAGTAAAGTACAAGATAGTAGAGTGACTAACCAGGTATTCAAAATTGAAAAGATCATGTGTTGCGTTCAAATGAAACTCCAGACCCTAGAAGTTGAATGGAAAAAGTTAGAGAACTAAATAGCCACATGAACTAAACAACTTCGTAGAGGAAGCTTGACCAAAAACATTAGTATAATAAGATACTACATCTCAGATTGTGCTGATTCAAAGGTGCATCGCTGTAAGTTTCACTGCTAGAGAGATATGATAATTCTGGACACTAATCCACACTCCCATAGTAGTATAATAAGCTCAGACCTTCAAATTTGACAAGAAATGATGCTAGAATAAAGGATCCGCTTTTTGTCAAGACTCCATTGATACGCCATTAAACCTCTAACATATATCATCTACTTCAAGTTGAAGTACTAAGGAGTGCTTTATATATTAACCTTGAAACTAGCACAATGGGAAAGGCAGAAAGGACACGAGAATTCCTCCGTGACTGCATCATAGTCAAAACCAAAAGAAAATGTCAAAACATAAGAGTAGCATCAAGATATCACACCAATATAATGATTGAAAACTACGAGGAACAGGAGAACAATCAATCAAAATGCTTAACACCCACGGATAGATTTGGCACAATCATTGAGGAGCTCCTGCTCCGATACAAATTATCAAGGTCCTCAAAGTTTGCTATAAAGATTCTTTGAACGATTGATTGATGTTCAATACATCAGGCTTTCACTGACACAATACGTTGGCACTCGCACGCAAAACATTGTGCCGAGTGGTTGGGACGCTCTCTTGTAAATATTTCTCGTTGTAAGAGCTTTACAACATCTGGTGTTGCGAGGGCTTTCTTTGTTAGATACCCACCACGCACTACATTACTGGAACTAATTCGCAATAACTCCCGAGTAAACTGACCCCCAGACACAACGGGAACCTTCACACAACCAGCTTCAAGCTGAAATGTTACAGAACTAACCTTCAGTTTTACGGCGTGTTCCGTGATCGTAAAGATAATGAAATACAATCCTTCCAGCACGAGTCTTACTGAATAAGTACACACAAAAACTTTGTCAGGGTCATTTCAGGATCGTCAAACCACTTTGGAGAATCCAACTACAAGGTAAAGCTCAAACCTAGGCTTAACCCTGATCGCCATACAATTCCACAATTTCATCATCTCCGTGAAAAGCATAGCGACAACTAAAATTGCTTACAGCATTGTCGCCTTATACTCTTTGACCATACACCTATTAACTTAGAAGGTGCTACATATTATACTGTTGCATATTTGCAATTCACATACGCCAGACACTAAGAAGGAGCGTCTGGTCTGTAAACAATAAGCAATATAAAAGCCCACTGCGTTTTCTTTCAAGAATATTCACACGTCTGAGAAAATTCATCTGGATTTTAATCGGGAATTTTTTAATTGATTTAATTAAATCGGGAAAATTCAACGGGATTCATAAGACTTAGAAACAAATAGGTAGCAGAAGGCATTGCTGCCCAACGCCGTAGCCGTATGTCAGCGGTCGAAAAGATCGGCAAATACACATGGCTGTGCTGTTGCGGTTATTCAATGTCTTCTGGTTACGTTCTTTATCTTTATCTAGCAATTTCAAATCGCCAGGGCAAAACCAGGGAGGCTGAAGACGAATGTGCGAGGGCATAGGCTGGAAGAAAACGTGGGAAGAAGTGAGCAGAGAATCATCAGTGACAGATATTTCAAGCCTGGTGAAGCTCAGAAGGTTGAGAAACCTGCTTCATGTGACTTCCATTAGGAACTCTGTGCTCTTCAAACTTATGGACTTCAAAATTAATTCTCTCCGGTCACCTTTGTTGAACTACGGTGGGAGTCATGAACTCAGCTCAAGATTCAAGATGTGCAAGAAATGCAGTATCTGATTTGACCTTAGTAAGGACGAGCTATAACTTGTTGACTTAACGAAGCACTCCATTATCTATTGCTTTCGTCGATACAAGACACATATGGATTAACTGTCGGACTATTGAAACATTCTCCTTGTGATCCTAACTTTGCTCAATACTAAATTTGATTGCAGTACAATATTGATCAAGAAACATCGTATCCTCCAAAGTATGCAAAAATGCAGGATGTAATTACGAAGGAAAACGGGAATGGGATTATCTTCTTGCAGCTTATTGACAAACCTTTCTAACTCGTTTCTTCTCTTGTTTATTGAGCCCTCGTACTCTACCGGCAACTTTTTCCCCTATTACTCCTACTGATCTGATTATTTTCAAGCAAGTACATTCTAGCAAATTCTACCCTACAGTTACTACCTCCGTGTGTAAGGAAGTGGAGACCTTGGAAGCGTCCCGTTCGTATTTCTGCTCACAAGGTTACTATGTCCAGCTTCCTCCCCTATGAAACGAATTTGCAAGCGTACCTGCAACTCTTCACCAAAAATAACATTCTTAAAACACAAGAAGAGAGACAACGAGTTTGAGCAACTTGCATAGAGGTCAAACTAATTCCAAAGTCACGTCGCAACATTCTCCAGAGATGTTTCTTCAGATAGCAGTTCGTTACTTCGTAACTGTCATCATACGCAAATACAAACATAGTAGGTACATATTTGCAATTCAATGTATGTAGAAAAGATATTGGCACAACGCTGATACAAAAAGTATATAACTGCTTAACTGGTGGTTAAGCTCCCACCAGACTCCTGTCGTTGGTCACTTTGGTTGAAGACGAAAGCAGGATGCTGGGCTCAATCTCTGAGTTGTCGTGCTGAAAAAGACGGTCGAAAGAAACAGGTAAGTCTAGAGAAAAAATATTTGAGGTTTAGAAACCATGGACAATTACACTGATTAAGAGCCAGATGAAAAAAAATCTGACGATTTTTTCAACCTCAGAATGGAAATACAGATAAGTGACAGAAATACCATACCTGTAACTTTCCAGGTTTTAAATCCACATTAGTAGTTGTGACATGACTGTGTTCGCGTGGATCACGTGGATCCCGGGTCTCTATACTCATTCTGGAATATTCTCTCGTACTCTTCAACCACATCTGACATATGGATGTGAATGCAACTTTTCCCCACGTGATGCGTCCACTGCAATTTGCTGACCCACAATAAAAATCAGTGACAAAATAAGTTGACAAGAGTGTACACGGTGTGAAATCATGCTTTGACAACGTCTTCCAGATATCTGATGAAAGTGCCGAATTACAATCTGCAAATGAAATCCACAAAAATATAGTACCCTACTTGTTTGACGACCCGCAACGTGAAAGCAAAGCACGTTGAAAAAGCTAGAATTGCAAAGAGGGATCCTCACCCAGAGCCAGATACGCTTCACTTGCTTCAATATGTCGGCCTTCTTGGGCTGGACAAGACAAGAGAAATTGATGATTAGATATTTTTATTGGAATGATGACAGAACCAAGTTAATCATATAAAAGATACTCAGCGTCTAATGTTCAGTTGAACACTAGTTCGACTCAATCAAAGTAGGAATATTTTGACCTTGGAGTGAGAAACATTACATTTCTCTGACCTATTGACAGGTTTCACATGTAGTAGACATGCCAAGAATCCGGCATCTCTCCTATCAGCCAAAAGTCAAATCGCAAACTCCATATTGTCTTTGATAGATGAAGATGTGATATATATGATCCTATAATTGATCGATAGTTCGTGAATTGATGAGATTAATAAGGACGTAAATCATATCTATATTTGATTAACTGACTAATATCGTTTGAACTACGTGACTATGCATCTTATTTCTTACTATATGGTGGAATGCCAATGTTTCTTTGACCAGTCCGTGTTCTTGAACCCCGGATGGAAGCAAACCAGGAGCTGCACAAGCACACTGAGACGGAGATAGAACGTACCCATCACGATGAAAAGGACAACGTCCCCTCGTTTAGCATTTAGCAGCAACTTCCGAGTTTCAGGCAGGATAAATGTGACAGATGATTGAGAACTCTCAACGTCTGTATCGGAACACTGCCCTACCACCAAAACCTTCGGCTTTCTTAACCGATAAGCAAATTGTCCCTGCCAAACATCGTGTCAAAAAAATCAACCATAAGGAAAGTAGCTGGAGTACAGAGACAAACCTGTCATTGAAATCGGGTAAGGCACTAGGAAAGAAACTCACACAGCTCCTCACCTCTTTTGTGAGATCCTTCACCGGACTGGTGACCATCACTAGCACAGAATACGACTGCCGTCCGAAGACTAAGTCATTTGATCCCAATTCCTTCCCTGAAACTTTGGCCAAAGTACCCCAAGCTGAACCACGGGAATTGGAAAATCCAGTAGCAGCCACGGTCATTTTCATGCTGGTACATACAAAAATAAAAATTGTTAGTATGCTTCTTCCTAAGTGAAACAAGATGAAAAGAAAAGTCATCAGGCTTTGGCGGGGAAAAGAGAAGACATTGGCGGAAGAGATTCTCAACAACTTCTTTTTTTGAACAAACACAAAACTTGAGAACACATTCCGTATATGGAAGGCAAATAAAAGCACCCGACACATATAATGGAAAAGTTGGACAACATTACTACGCTTAAAGCATCTAACCTTCGTTGGTGAGCTGCCGAAATCTTGTAAGATAGACATCGTTGAAGAAAGAGAGGCTGCAACCACAGACAACTATCAGTTAAGTCGGATGGAATTTCAATGTAGATTAATAACTGCTTTTTCAACACAAGGCTCCATACTTCACGTACTAATTTGTGAATGCCTGTAACTGACAAGAACCATGGACCCCCGCGCCCTGGGTGACGTGACCTACTAATCAAAAATAGAATGACAGGATAAGGAGGGAGGGGGTGGGCAGAGGGCTATTAATTGAGGGAAAGTTTACTCTCCGGGAGGAGTTCTGATAGATGTAGTTCGTTCAGATCTTTCCAGTGTCAAGCAATGAAACCTTCACAAGATCACATGCAGAGACCTACAACTCCACTAAACATTTTTACCAAAAGAAGACAGCTTTGAGCTTCGAATCTAGATGAAATTGTTTAAGTCTGTAATGAGGGTAGAAGTTGATCGTGGGGCCAACATAGGCCTAATGTACAGAGACGCTAATTTTTTTCAGAGTAAATTCTACTCCTCTCCAGTGCAAAGACGTCGTGAAGCTATTCAAAAAGTGCGCACAAGATAAAATTAAAACAAGCACTGATTGATCTGGAACAAACATATCCAAACTCTTGAGGAGAAACTTAGTCGCATATTCAAAACCAACAATTATGTAACAAAAAGCAAACAAAGTGGCTACAATTCTATCAAATTGATCAACTCTGAATTCTTATCAATGCCGAAACTCCTTTACTTCACCTTCTCGTCATGTAATGTTGTCATGTCATGTCAATATTATATTTCCACTGCTTTAAAAGATGTTGAACGGGTCGTACGTGTGTAATCAACGCCATTAAACTCATCGGATTACCAATTAGAGAGTTGCAAACAGAAGAAAAGGGAGTTGCATTGGGCCTCCTAGACTACAAACTGGCCCAGCTCTTACAGTCAAGTGTACTTGTGGGTTCAGTTTTTAATACAAATTGGATTCCATCGATTGACAAAGAGACATCCTTACAAGCATCGTCACGTCTGTTCTCCCGGCTCATTTTAGTCGTACAGAAATAAAACTATATTATTATAAAGAGCTGGATGCCTTTCTGTTTCAGAAACCAAACGATTGTTCGTTTTAATCTTATGAACATGTTCTTCACTACAATCAATCGGTGTTATTTCGGCATGCTCTTCATGGTGTGAACCGAAGCTATGTGTCCTTAAAACTCAAACATTTGAGTCGGAGCCGTGTGAATGGAAGGAAAAAAAGAACACGTACCTGACGAGCTAAACGCTTCTGAATGATGTTGTAGAGTTCTACAGGTTTGCAATAATGGGACAGAGATTCTTCAGCAGCAATGTCTTCATCGTCCGCAGTTGAAATATGGTCCCTGCTTCTGCTAGACAGGTCTCTAGGAATAACAATATCCCTTCTAAGATCCATTGAATCAACATTTTTCAGAGGACCGCTGGTCCTGGTTCCACGGAGTCCACCATTCATCAGTGCTACTCTCCTGTCATAAACAGGTACAGTTTGTTCAAAAGAAGCAACACGCGATGAAAATCACAGTACGAGGTTTACCAAGAAAAATGTGGATTACAGTTACGTAAGAAGCTTAAAGTGCAAAATCTTGAGAAATGACTACGTAGTGTTTCATTTCGAACTCAAATAGAACTTTTGAAAAAAACGATGATAGAAGAAAATAGACTGCAAGGCGGCAGTCCTGAATTTTGCATGGCATGAATCGACCACCGTCAGGTTAGTCCAGTGATATGTCCACATTCGTGAACATTTAAGGCATTCATACTTGACAGGCATTTCGATCAAATGAGCCCTAATTGCTAGATGATAGAGATGAAAAAAGCTCAGCAAACCAGCATTAGAAAGCAACAGTGACATTGTTGACAATCAAGTATTGCAGCAGCAATTTTAAAATGCTGAGACGATTCTCACAACACTCGAGGACGACTACCGATCACATTAAGTATGTCATCAGACTGGCTTTTAAGATACAGGGCCTGAACATTACAGATTGGAACCACTGTAAGAGTCGGCAGATGCCAACCCTGGCATTCTGATTATCGGCCTTCTTCGTCTACCGGCTGGAAGACCTTGATTCTTTCCTTACTTCCCCGCTCTTCGCCAGCTGCTTCAGTATCATAATGGTCGCGGTTGTGAACAGCTCCAGTAAGACCAGACTACAAAACTCGGAAGAGGGCAATTTGGGGTAACGAATGCGGCTTCTTCACTGAGTAAAATGCCTTGGGTATAAGCGCAGAATGAACCGGGAGTTCCATCAGAAGGGGACACATTTTCTGTCTGGACGGTGGTCAACGGAGCGATACACAGAGAGCACTTACCATCAAGGCTTCGGGTTCAGTTTATAGCTTGCTAATATCTTCTTGATGGGCACTAAGGCTCCTGAAAAATATTGGTCAACTTGCGGCAATTGCTCGACAGTTGGAAGCACTGAGGAGATCCAAAAAAAGCTGTCATCAAGAACGAGAAGGAAGCTGAGAGGGAAGCTCGGCCTCCTCAAGGCGAAAATGGCGCACGACTGCTTATTCACAAGACCTTACCTACTTCAAACCATAATCCGTCCTAAATGCTCGCTCTCAGCCCCAAAATCTTCAAATTAGAGTTCATTTCCTCCATCTGCCCGGTCTCCTTGAGTGTAACTGAAGCCCTTTTCCACAACCACCTAGGCTTTTTTAACTCAGCTCCTGCTCGACCAAACCGAACTGGCACCGAAACCCAGAAGCAGTCGCCAGTTTCTTGGCTTGACGACGTTCCTCTCCGAATAAAACAAATTTCCTAAGCCCAAAGAAGCCTTCTGACACTCGAGCCTCCGGTTTCTCTATTCAAATGTCGGCACGGAGAGCCCTGTCACGAACCCAATTTACTCGACCTCGTCCACAGTTCTGTTTTCTCCAGGACCTCCTCTGTTCAGCCTGCAAAGGCTTCGAATCTCCAGATATCTCGACGAAATCAAATCGAACGCCCTGCTTCCCTCCAAGTTCCGGCACAACCCCACGAGAGGTAGCTAGCTACAGTAGCGAGCGAGCGAGCGAGTGGGATCGGGGGTGGACGGGTCAAAGCAGAGCGGGTGAAAGACAGACGAAAAGAAGACTGCGGCAAAGCGAGCGAGCGAGAGAAAGCTCAGACGCCATCCCCAAGGCCCTGTGCCGACAATCGCTGCCGTTCCGGTGCCGATCCCGTCCCGGTCCATTCAAAGTCTACGACCATACCATAGCGTCCAATACCCTGCTCTCCCCTGCCAGCACCGGGCGAGTTTGAGAACAAAGCGCGGAATGCCCACAGACTGACACCCTCTAATCATGACAAGCAACCGCATTCAATTTTCCTTTCCCTCCCTCGCGAACTTAACCGCGGTTCGACGTCACTCCCGGCCGCACACCGCAGGTTACTGTACCCGCGGTCCGGTCCACATCCATCCTGACATAGGCTGTCGATCATCATCATCAGGCTACGTCCAGACTTCCCACCCTCCGGCCCATACTCGTCCGAAATCACCGCGACGGCATCTGCATGAGGTGTCCAAGCGGACGGAAGGCGTGCGCTCGTTCTCTGCTCCGCAAGAGCGTCACCGCAGCCTACCTTCAGTCTGGTGTTGAGCTCGACTGCCGCACTTTCGGGCCTCTTGCACCGACATTTCGCACGTTCTTGTATCCCCGGCCTCCATCTCTTTCTGCACAGTCTACTTGAAATTGGGAAGATTAGCGACAGAGAACAATCGTAGCAGCCGGGCGATCACGAAGACGACTTCCGCAAAGCCCACAGCAACCAACAAATCGAACTCTAATTTCCGCTGACGCTTGTTCTAGTCTTGATGGTGTTGTTCAGCCCAGCCCAGACTTGGACTTTAGATTCCCGTCGGCCAGCGTAGACGAGAAGATGCCATCGCCTACGACCCGACTTTGAAGTGTAAGGTACCTCGACCGCGTTCTTTCCCCGCACATGACCCCAGGGCAAATACTCCTTGTTGTCGTTCGACATGTCACGACTCAAGAAGTTGTTCAAAACGATTCAAATGTAATGTACCGTAATCAAACCAATTCCTAACGGTCATCATCCACCCCTCGTTCAAGCTAAGCAAGATTCAAAATTTTGATTCGATTAGTTCGATAACATGAAATGAAATGTATCTTCGGTCGGGGATGCATGAAAAGTATCATGTACTTTGCAGTTATTTTACGTTATGACGATTAGTCCCATAAGTAGTATGTGAACTCTCATATTAAATTTTATTACATTTATTCAACTAGAGAGTCATAATTTACCAATATTTTAATCATTCATCTCCATGCGCATTCCATTTTGTCTTTGACACGCACTAGTAATTTTTGTTGTAAGGTATCATTTATTTTGCCTACATTAATGATATCGGGTTTTGGCTTGCTACACCTCTCACATTTTCCAAATTTTATATATACACACAAAAAGACACAAATTCCAAAAGTAACATGTTATGATTGCTCATCAATGTTAGTCCACAGTTTTCAATAGAAGATTTGTCAAGAGTTAGTTATACATCAAAAGAATCACATTTTACTTCAAATTTGTATACATACCTAGATCATATTCATCTACATCTATCTATGTACACCCTCTAATCAAATTGCTCTAATGTACTCAAAAATTGTGCAATTTGTACATTTTTCCAACACCAAGTCTTGGTTTAATCAATTAAATTAAATTTTATTAGTTGTTGGATGACTTCTTGATTAGCGTTAACCTTACATATCTGATATTGATGAGCAATCATGACATTATATTTTTAGAATACGTGTATTTGTGTGTGTATAAATATATAACACACTAACAACATACAAAAGTGTTGCTTTAACATGAAGCATTTAGATAGTATGACAATGAAGTCTTTGCTTGTCCTCGCGGTATCGTATTTATTAATCACATAATTGATAATAAGTTTTAGATGCTTCAACAATTGAAATAATTTTTTCAAGTGTCAACTCTTTCAATTATTTGAGATACAGAATTGTTTTCTAGAATGTAGTCAACAACTCAACTAAATATTTTAAAAAGTTATATGAAATTGAGTTAATTTTTTGTAATGCATCTTTTGCTTCAATAACCCGATCAACTCATTTGTCATTTAAAAAACACTACAATAGTATTTTCATCTGGTTGCATTCTCTTGTTTCTACATATTTGACAATTTTGATTGAAGATTTTTCTTTTTAATATATGAAATCAAACTCTTACATGTATTAATGAAAAAGTTTAAGATTGCAATGTTGGAATCATCAAGGTATTAATGAAAATTTTTAAATCATTTTCTAATTGAATTTTTTTCTTGGTCTTGTTGAGAATGTAGTTCAAACAATTTACATTTTTATGATCAATACTTCATATCAAATCAAAATTTTTTGGAATGTCATTTTTTGTAACGGTGTTCAATCCATAATTTGCCATAATAGTAATTTCACTAAACATCAAATTCTTCATATCAAAGACGTTCATAACTTTCTTGAATCAGTTTAAAAACATGCAATACACTATTAAATACAACAAACTTTTCATCGATGTAATGTATCATGACATATATGTTAGCTAAAGTATTGATATTGTTTGTCATGGATATAACATTATCTGCCCAAATATCAAGTATGATTGTCAATAATATGTCAATATCAATGTTCTTGAACACGCTTTGTCATTATAATGTATTGTTAATCATGCAAATATTTATATTGTGATTGACAGAACTAAGTAACACAAAAAATCATGAATTGTTTGTGCCTTGCAACATCAACGTTCACATCTGTTTGAAAAAGCTTTTTTAAAATCATGTTCAGCTATTGATTCAAACAGTTTGACTTAAATTGCACAAAAGATGGCACTCACAAACATTATACTTTTTTTATCATGTGTGATGTAAATGTTTGTAATTTTTTTTGAACTTATATACTTTATTGCATCTGAAACACGCTACGTATTCGAGATCTTTATCATGTTGATGCAAATATGAAATATTTTTCTTGCCACTTAATCACACTGAGTATTCGCGGTACTTACTATCTTGTTGCAGAATAACAAACTTTTTTCTTGCATATGAAGCAGTATGCATACTGGACAATCTTGAACTTTTGTCAAAGAGCACAATCAGATGAGCATGACTATTTCAAAGCAAAAATACACACCAACATCATTTAGGCAATATTTTCTTTAGTTACTTCTTGATCATTTATGCATTTAACAAACTAGAGCTAGATGTTAACATCTTAATAACATCACTTGCGAGTAAAATCTCAGAATATGATGTATGTCTTAGTCACAACTATTAACCTATGCAAGGAGCAATAGATACTGTTTGCGCAATTCGCTATTTTCGTGTGATTTCAACCTAATGTCATGTGACAACATAATACATGGACTAAAGATTTAGTTTACTAGAGACAATTATTACTAAAATTGATGCATTGACATAACAAACATAAAAATATTGATGTGCACTTGCTTTCCTACTTAGTTGAAAATTATGACCATTTATATACATATTTGAAAATAATATCCTTCCATTAACAGTGATATTCAAATCATGATCATACAAAATCCATGAGCAAGAATGGACTTGGCATGGGTTCTCGTATACATGTTGGGCCGACTAGACATACTACATTAACAATGAGATATATTTAGCAATATAAAATAAAAAGAATAGAGATAAATATAGAATATTTGTTTTTATTTTTTTGACGTTGAATCTATATTGATCAAATTCTATTATGTCTCATGAAAAAATGAATAAAAAGTTGTTATCTTCAACAATATTACTATGATGGTTTTTCTTATATATCGTAGATTTAAGAATACACATCTCTAAAATCACAAATTGGTTGTAAACTTAAGATTAATAATCAAATTAATATTATTAGATGCAAAAACATGATATAGATTGTACTTTTTAAAAGTAAAATGTTAAATCTAATATTGAAGAGTTCTCCAAATTTAGCATGGACATCATGAAAACTCTTATGTACAACATCAAACATTCACTCATCACTTAAAAGTTATTTCCGTTTTTATAATATAAGTATGCAATTACATTTCTATCATGTTCTTCATACCTATATTGATTCGGAATGACAAGTTCATGATTGAGTTTTCAAGAAACAAAATACTATTGCTCACGTCTATGTTGCACCATCATCTCATGGAAAATATATCTGACCATATTACATTTTAGTGTTTTACCCCATGTGAACGTAATTTTCAATCCTACGGTTATATTGCTTCTAAACGTATAGACGTAACCGTAGAATTGACTATCACATACAAATTGTTAACTCTTACAAATTTGATACATCTATTGAACTCTACTTGCAGTTGCACATATTAATTATTAGGTTTATCTCCTAAATGTTGACTTCACTTTCTTGTGCATAAACCGTCATTGACTAATTGCATCCATCATTACTCTTGTTTTTCAAGTCACATTGACTTTCCATTGGAGACCTAATTTATATCCAATTGTTGCAAATCGATATCCTCATAGTACAGATTGAACACATTCTTTAACGTTTTGATCTTATATGTTAAATGGGAAATTAATTCACCCAACTCCTACAACTCGTGGTTGATGAATTTATGTTTAGTTTGTTAGATTTTTTTTTACAATAAGTGTTTTTTGTGTGTCTTACGGAACATCAATCTTTTATGATTTGTATGAAAAATTTAGAAATAATTTAGTACTGTAATAATGTATTATTTAAAAACTGTTTAGATTTAAATATTTTCGTTTTATATTGCTTTCTAACATGATCAGCTATTCAATTATTTCTGAATTTAAACTTATATATCCTTGACTTGGTAATATGTATTACCAAGTCATATATATGTATCATAAAATACATATATTTTAGTATATTTAAGATATTTGGTGGTATTAAATATACACGTTTGAAAAGAAGAGTAAAACTAGGAGGTCTTATTATTAAGATAATTCGTTTTCTTGAAAGGAGAATTTCTGACACATATAAATGTTTTGAAAATTCTCAAACAATCATTGGAGTTGTAGGTCGAACGAAATCTTGTTCGCAGGTAGTTCACAAACAAGAAGTACTACTTCATTTACTATTTTGTTGGAGGAGTGATATCAATACTGTACTATCAGTTCTCTGTTGAGAACCAGTTTACATTCTTTAGCTTGTTTACAGGTTCTCTATTTTATCTCTATTTATGATTGCTGTATGTAGTTGCGCAATATTTATCTTTGCTTCTGGTTTGTATCTATATTTCTGCTTCGTTTGTAAGTCTTACGTTGGCAACCAAGGAGTTCCCGTGCAATGAGTTACATACGAGTACGATCCAACTCTGCACTAGGAGGAAAGTCTCAACCAAGAGTACAGGGAAAACATGGTATCGAATAAGAGGATCAGTCAAAATGCAAGATCACAAGCACTAGCATTTCTGTCAAAACATACTACACAGCTGACAGATGCATATCATATTTCTTCAGAGAACATCTGCCACACACTCTGGTCCATTCTCCGGTTCCTGAAGCGTTGGAAGTACAGACCACGGCAAGCCAAAATCACATTTTGATGTAGACGGCTTGTAACATCGAAACTCCAGCAGAAACTGATATTATTCTATAAGAACAGAACAAGTTCAAAACGTGGAGCAAAGATTACTTTCCTCGAGCTTTGACCGTGCCATGAGCTGGAATGCTTTGTACAAAGTACAGAAAAAAGTGGTGGAGTGTGATGATTTTAGAATTTCCCAGATATCGCCAATTAGTCGACAGTGCACTTCTTGAGCTAGGTGGCTAAATTTTAAATGGAGAATAAGGATAAATACTTGAAACTAAACTGACAGCAAAGGCAAGCCCTAACACTCCGATGACCACCGGCAGATCATAATTATTTAAGTCAGATTGAAACATTCCTGCAATCGAAATTAATCCTTCGATTCCCTGTTCAGGTGAGGGTTTCAGGTCGGCAATTGTCTCCTCGTTCACAGGTATATTTACCGAGGGTTTATAAAGCTCAATGTCATCTTCACCAGGCTCATACACGTTGACATCCACGAACTCTGCATACATTTGAGTAGAAGACTTCGTGTGCTCCACTTCCATGACAGAGCCAAAAAAGTCTGTGAGCAAAACCTGATCAAGAGGCCGAGCGAAAAGGTCACTACGGTAGTTTATGTGGGAATCAAGCAGCTTCGGATTATACGTTTGCAGAAGGCTCTGCAGAGTAGTGTTCGAGAAAATTTCCAGATTCTCGAAAAACTGAAGAGTGTAGTACGTGAATCGATCCACCACAGTTACTCCAACATCCGCATCAAGATGGTGCGAGTACGAATTTTCGCCCTTGAGGCTGCTGCCAACTGCGAACACCCCAGGGGAGTAGAGTTGAGAGTGGAGTGTAGCGGCTTGACATGTATCCACCATGACCAACAACTCCCTGTATCGTTTTTTCTCATACATCTGAGCAAAAGCGTCAGCCAAATCATTGCTCTGTATATCTTCAGCGTCCTGGAATTTCAAGAACTGATCACCTCCATGACCCGTCATGTATAGCAAAATGTTGCTATTTTCATCACTGATCAGCCGCTTGGATCGAGGCACCGCAGCATCATGTCGCCCCGTCAGCAAGCGCAAGAAATTCTCGACCGTCACTTCGTAGCCTCTGTAATCCACCTCCACGTTGTCACCGTAAAGGTTGAGTCGATGATCCTCGTTGTTGAAGACTTGCGCAGGGTATTTATTCCTGGCATTGCAGGCCATGTCATCGGCGAGCATCAGAATGATATGGTCATCCGGTATCCCTAGTCTTTTTACAGTCCGGTAAAGAGAAAGAGTGTTCGCCATATGTCGGTAGTTAAACCAGTATCGAGAAGTGCACACCAGTACAGCCCAATTGTTCGTGTGCGCAGGCCCCTCACTCGCTTCTCCTCCTGCCAGTAAAGCTAGTACAAGAAGAGCCAGTAAGTTCGTGACAGAGCCCATGTCTCCGTTAGCACACTTTCCGTGGGAAATGTGTGATCACCTCAGCGCATCATCGACAGACCTCACCACCTTGATACCCTTCCTTTTATTCAAGCATGAAGGCTGCCATCTCTCCACGAATTACAGTGCACAGCTATATCCATGTCTCCTCACTGCAGATTCTTGACCCTAATCCCACACGGGTCCTTCGTGGTCAGGTCCTCATTTCTATGTTGAGGCCGGAAGATGAAACGAGCCTACACACTCAAAAATTGCTCATGAATCTGATTTGCCCAAACACCTTTATCATCAGCAATCCCTAGATTCTAATGCTTCAAAAGTCATTCCTTCTGCCACCCGTTCTTCCCTCAAAGAGCCCAGAAAGATATGCCAGCTGAACAACAGGATGACGATTCTCAATACAGGATGACGATACTCAAGACAATTGCATGAGCAGATTTCAAGATTTTACGAGTGAACGACGCAGACCGATCCATTCGAAGGAGAAACTATCTGCGATTCAAGTGACATACAACTCGGAGTCGATGAATACAACCTTCCAAAAACATTCTTGATCTTTCCTTCTACCGATATTTTCCGTAGAACTATGAAATGTGATAAGACTGTGAACCACAACTCCTCAACTCATAAGCCTCCGTGGAGGGAAGGAATTGCAAGTGAAAATACATTTCTCTCTTTTTAAATTTCCTCAGATATATTATCAGGACTTGTCAGATTTCTTAGAACCATGTTAAGGTGACGGGGAAAATTTTAGAAGCTTAGTTTAGCCCTCATCTAGTCTTGTAAGGCAGAATTCAGTTGCTGGACTGTGACGACTTGACCGGAATACTTTTTATGTCAAAACTGATGACCATATTTGTCAATGAGGTTCATAAATCATAGAACGTTAGAATCACCTCCTACAAATGTTTACATACAAAGCGAAGTGACAAAAAGTCTCATAATATGTTATCCATTTTATAAAACCAAACCACATGAGGTTATGATATTAATCGATTTGACTTCTTCGTATATATATGATTCTCAGCCTTCAGTCTGATAAGGTTTCACAATTCGAAAGACTATTATTTTCAGATATCAAACACAAAATGTCTAGAAGTGTGGAATAACTAAAATTTGTAAATACCCTCAGTCAGCTGAGGGTATTTGTGAGTTTATATCATTACGATGTACATGTACGTTCTGAATCTGTATTTTCAAAAAATCAAATACAATCTTAACAAAAAATGTCAATAATAAAATTTTAATTTATCATTTAAAAAACTTTTATATTTATCTAAAAATTAAAGAAATAGAAAAAATGATAAATTCTAATTATTATAATTTAATATCAATAAGGTAATAGGATTAGTAATTTTTAGTCAAATCTTTCATGAAATCTACAAATAACATTACCCATGAAGTACTTCAAAACTTGAGTCCTATATTCGTACTCCAGTCCTCCAGTGTCATGATTACATTTAACTTTAATCAAGAACTGCGATCTCTTCCGTCTGCTCAGATTCCCAACTTTCAATAGCAACTCTCTGGACCTTCCGAGCTTGAAACTGCATTAGTTGTAGAAATGTATCTCTTCATTACTATCGTGCAACTGCCTGATGGGTTCTGCACCATAACATCTCGAGGCGTACCATTTCTCTTCATTCAGCACTTGTTTCACTTAGAGGCATCAAGTTTAGTGGGCTTGTTCTTCAAGCCGTATGAACTAGACTACTCTTCTAGCAACATGAAAATATTACTGTGAATACTTGATATGAGGATTCAACTGAATTAGTTGACATTTATTCACCTGTTCCTCTTCATCTTCTCGTTCTACTCCTGCATCTTCTGACTCGTGACTTTCATTTTGTAGAACTATCTTTTATGCACAGATTCTTAAATCCAGCCTATCGGAACTTCTGGGTCAGTGACGGATTTTTACGTAGAGGTAGAATTGTAGATCGAACCCTCTGAAACAAGCGATGTCCTACGTGAGCCAGCCATTTGAATCACCACCGAGCTACAGATCCTTCTGAATTAGCCCCGGCCCGATCAGAGCCCGATGGAACTGTCTCGACATCTGTGCAACAATTCTCCCACCTCTGTGGCCATGCAATGGCAGGACGGACGATGATGCTTGCTAATCACAATCTGAAGCGTTGTCAACCTTTCATCTGGAACATGATTACAGTAGCTTGTCAACCTTTCATCTGGAACATGATTGCAGTAGCTTGTACATCCTCATTGGACGGGGATTTCGCTTGAACTTAGTAGACGGGCAGACTGAAACAAATCTACGAGGACGAACCAAACTCGTTGATCTATGGATCTGCGAATCAAAATTTGTAGCTGGCTTTCTTGGCATTTCACAATCAAGGGGACTTACAGAGAATACCAGGTTCGTAAGATGCCTCATGTTACCTGATTCAGCTGCTGCATAAGAAGTTTATGTTCTGGTTGGTATCGACAGATCCGTGGAGTCAAAAGACAAGGTTCAATTCAGAAAACAAGATCTTATGAAAACAAGTCTAGAGCACGAGAAGATGCGAGTCTAATCTCCACTGTGGGGTCCTTGACATCGTACTAGCAGCACTCGCAAGAGCTTCTCTTGACTTCCAGTCATCTCTAGCAGTTTGGTCTAAATAAAACCCCACAATTTTAGTTGATGCTATAGCATTGTTACGTACGACTTTGCCGAGCTGCTGCCATTCCTCAGGACGCATCCGCAAGGAGTCCAACTCCACTTCCTCCAATGATTGGTTGCAAGTACAGTAAGAAGTTTTCTTAAACAGTCTCCGAGTCCATCCATACCCTCCCGCCGAAGACGTTCAATGGATCGGTTCAATGGACCGTTCAATTCGAATTGCTGATCGCAGCGTTTCTAATAGAGGAGTACCGGACAATACATGAAACGATAATTACATCCCTTCGCATGCTAAATGAAGAAGTTAGAGATACAGATGATGTACATTAATATGATATATAGTGAGAAAAAAAAATGTTCGTGGGCGGAACAGACCGTTTTCGAATCTTTGATTGCCCGTCAAAGAATGCAAGTTTTCCATACATCTGCTGCCAGTGAGATATATATAGGCACACAGAAACGTCTTGTCATCAAGAGTTACGGTGGAAACCACTGCACCATGTGCGTGTGGGAATCTTGAATTATGGCAGTTTCATTTTGAAATCGCTTTTGATAGGCTTCGTTTACTTTATTGCTGTTTTGGTTTATCTTCAATCGAAATATTAGCTATTTGGGTTCAAGATCAACGACTACTGAAGGTCGGAACAGAGCTGTTTAAATCATCCACTTCGCAACGAAACTGTTACACATATTAAACAATGGCAAGATATATACGAATCTTCTCGCACAGCAGCTAGACGCAGTTTATGCAGCTCTGGGAAGATTGGGGCAGGGAAACATGCGCGTGGTCGTTGGGGAGATCGGCTGGCCCACTTCAGGAGGCACTGCTACAGATACGAACAACGCTCGGATTCACAACCAAAACCTGGTGAACTTAGCTCGCGGAGGAACGCCACTGAAGCCCAACTGGGGAATCCAGTCTTACATTTTTTCAATGTTCGACGAAAAAACTGTCACAAAGCTGTCAAGCAACTGTGCTCAGCAAAGCGGACCTGTCGAAGAATACAACTAGCAGCTTTCGCTTTTTGATTGCTTCTGATTTCACGACGGATTCGTGAGTTAGTTGATGGAAGCAGAATTCATACACTGTTGATATTGTACATAAGGTCGATCATTTGCGCACATTGAATCTGGTGGGAGGTAGAGTTGTTTTCACAGGTTAGTGTACTCAGATTCGTGAGTTCGGTGATGGAAGCAGAATTCATACAAAGTTGAAGTTGTACATAAGAGGTATGGCTGTTTTCACGGGTTAGTGATGGAAGCAGAATTCATACAAGGTTGAAGTTGTACATAAGAGGTGAGTTCGGTGATGGAAGCAGAATTCATACAAAGTTGAAGTTGTACATAAGAGGTATGGCTGTTTTCACGGGTTAGTGATGGAAGCAGAATTCATACAAGGTTGAAGTTGTACATAAGAGGTATGGCTGTTTTCACGGGTTAGTGGACTCAGTTGGACACATTGAATCTGGTGGGAGGTATAGTGGACTCAGGCAGCGTGAGAAGCTTGAGACACCAGAAAGTAGTTCAAATCTGAGTTGCTTGATGCATTCATGTTCATACCTCCCACCAAATTCAATGTGTGCAACTGGTCGACCTTATGTACAATTTCAACCGTGTATGAATTCTGTTTCCAACACCAAACTTACGAATCTGAGTCCATAGTGTACATAAAGTCCATAAATGTTTTATCGTCTGCCTCGGACGGCCTGCCCTCTCATCATTTTCTTAACATTTTGTAACGTAGGTATGCTGGTCGTTGTTCACAATTTTCAACACCATCACTTGCGAATTTCCTGCCTCCTGAAGACGTCCTCCGAACCGCCGCTTTTGATTGCTATTAGGTATTGCTATAAAAGGCTTCAAATTTGCGATGGCCTCCAGAAGAACCACATCGTACAAGCTGAAAATTTTGAAACGTAGGCAATAAACTTCAAGTGTTTAAGTTGATTAAACTCCCTGAAGTCTTGAAGTTTGATAGTTTACGCCCTTCTGTGTACACTTCTCAAGACTTCAGGGATAAAGTCTTGAAATGAGTACTGGAACAAAAGGGCGTACAATCTACTGATACTGGTAGTGTATTTTTTTCACAGGTTGCACAAAAAGACAACGTTCAGCATCAACTTTCAATGCAGATATTGCAAACTTACATTGTGAAGTTACATTCCAACCTTTACCTTCAAAGGTTCATCTTCCAATTTCATTGCGGGTTATAAATACATCAGAACAACAGTCCTCTAGAAAACGAACACCTGACTCGCACCTATAAGTTCATAAATGTTGGGGTACACATGAAGAAAGGATAAAACTGATATACCCTTCGGCCGGTGCTCAATGTCTCTGCCACATCCGTAATGTCAGACCTCTTTTAACTGCTCGGTGGAAGCTGATCGAGTTCACAAAGACTACCAACAATTGCGGTACCAACCATGGGCAGACAGACGGATCACGGTACAGAACGAATCACCGTGCTTCAAAGGGTTCCATACCTCGAAACCCCGTCCTCTCTTATCGCAATCTATTCTTCCAAATGTAATATACACACCAGCCTCCCCGAAGTTCATATTAAGATGAACATATCAACATGGGCTTGGTTTAGGTGAACTCACTTCCCTAAGCTGCTGGATTATGAAACCTTGCCACCTAGAGAATATCCCCTTACGACCTGCTTTGAGGCTCATTTGGTACATGAGACAGGTACAAGTCACCAAATGCCGATTATTGGATTATTCACATATGAATAAAAAGAATGGCTCTCTGCATGCAGCAGGAGAGATTCTGACCTACCAACTCCTATTTGCAGAGAGATAAATGGATCACTCTACTTTAACTTCACTTTTAAAATTGGTTTCACTCTATAGGATTGCTCTGGCTTGGGTCCCCTTTGGGTGATGTGCGCCATAGCACCTCCACTGAATTACTCCGACAGTGGTGTGAATCCAGGTACAGTAGAGCTATACATTCAAAGATAATCTAGGATTGAAGACGGTTAAACCATTGGCTTCAAACTGTAGTCTACAAGAAGACAATATTGACTGATGTGTAATCTATTAGATTTTTCTGTGGGTCTGTCGGTGTCCAAAGAGGACGCCTTGGCAGATTGTCCGTGTATAGACCACCATTGCAATAATCACAAGCAGCATGGCATTCACATTGGGTAGGCCAATTTGTCTCATACTAATGGACTTGGTAAAACCAAGGGTTGATGACTTCTTCCTTTTGTCCACAAAAGGTTCTCCCTCTTCAATGTCGCCACTTCTCGTTGGAAAACAAGAGCTACTTGATTCTGCAATATCAACATCTGACGTTCCGTATACCTCCTCTATCTTTCTCAGAAGTAACACCATGTCTACCACAACATCTGCACCAGGGGTCTGTCTATGATGCTTGACAGAGGGAACTGCTCCTTTGTGATAGCTTACTGGCTCTTGTCCAGGCGAAGATGATGTATCGGTGCCGTATACAATACCTCCATGCAAGTTATGTTGAATATTGGTGGGAACAGATTGTCTTTGAATTGCATTGTGGTGCACCTTCCGAACAGCAACTGAGTCAGAATCTCGTTCTCCTAGACCAGACTCTGAACAGATGTCCCTGCTTTGGCCCACTTGTGATTCTTGCAATGTCCCAGATCCAGCGAATGCGGGCGGAGGAAAAGGAGGAGCCGACTGGGCGCGCTGTTGTTGATATGCAATGTGTCTTTGCAGGAGAAAGACTTGCGCAAACTGCTGCAACCTCTCCTCGTTCCGCTTCAAATCCTCAGAATAACGACTTTTACCTTGACCCTTGCTTCCACATTCTGCCTCCTCGACCTGCATAATAAATGACAGAAATAAGATATCAAAACCTCCTGTAAAAAAACAAAATGGAGCCCACTACACGCTCTTGCATGATCCTACAGCAGGAATTGAAGGCCTGTCACAGTGCATACCTGGATGCATATAACATGGATTCATATGACATGGCAAACAATCATCTAAACTTTCCTCACAAAAAAGACCAAAAACAATTCTTTCGATAAGAGGCAGCTTGAGCACTTTTAAAAGACTGCACAGATAGCTGAAGAAAAGTGCAAGATGATGGGTACTTGAGTCAAACCTGTTGAATTTCGACCTTTGTTTGAGAATCCTTTTTCAGCTTGGCTGAAATTCCATGAGCAGGTTGTAGACTGTCACGAGAAGACAAAGTAATTTGTTTCAGATGACCATTAGAGGAGTTACTTGGGACATCCTTGCTAATCTCGTGCTTTACACCCTTTCTTGACGAAGCCCTCTGCAGCCTTGGCGCCGAATGTGAAGTGGTGTTGGCCTCTGCCTTTGCAGGAGTGACTACATTAACAGCTTCTGTGCCATTTACACTTAGATAGCCCGACGACCGATCATTACTGACTTTCTGTTGAGATGGGTGACCTTCTTCCAAAATAACAAATTTTGGGAAGCACTGATCAGCGGAAATGACAGACGCCGACAGGTCAACAGGGAGAGGCTTGAGGGATGCAAGGCATGTATCAAGACACTCATCTAAGTGGTCGATTGACACATCATTCCAATCCTCGTTCTGGCTAACCTTACCCACCGGCAATTCGCCCGTAGGAAATCCAGGAAGTTCGCCGTTCAGGAGTGGACGCAGCCCGATATCATCTCTCCTCGACAAAAGAGCAATGTCAGGTCCCTTTTCTCCTGCCTTTTCACGTTGGTCGACCTGCTGTACAACTGTAATATCGACCACCTTCTCAAGAGAAGGGAATTCTGGAGACAGCTGCAAGCCTTCCTTAGAAATTAAAACCTCATCCTCCTCACTTGTAAGAGCTATTTCATTTGAAAGCTCCATCTCTACGTCCTTCTCAACCCTCACACGCCCATGACCTGATCGCAAGTGTGAGTCTCCACGACAGAGGGCAAGAGTTTCCCTCTCTGAAACTGCCCCATGAGCAACTAACGGAGCAGCTGCCTCGAACCGACAGCTGCGAGAATATCTTCGCCATTGAAGTTGTATAATTAACGCTGCCGTGTGCAGTATAGTTAAATGACATCGCACTAGGTGCCCTCGAACACAGGCCTGGATAAGGATGGCAGCTCTTTCTTCTACCATGGCTTTCTTGTGCATGGCATACTTTAATCTGGCAGAAAAACCACGAACATATGCTTGCAACTTGATCGCAGCCCTCATGCAAATATGCTTGTGCGCCTTCCATTGCTGCTGAATTGTGGTAGCTGCTTTCTGCATGCGCACCAACTCCTGTCTAACAACGAAACCACGGGCATAAGCTTGTAAAGTGATTGCTGCATGAAGTCTTCTTTCCTCAGCTTGTTGGATTGCTGCGGCAGCTACTAAGCATTCTTGGGCGGAGCGATGTTGGCGCCAGCAGTTTTGAATTCTTAGCACAGCACATGTCACCTTCCTAAGTTCACATCTAGACAGATGACCGCGAATATGCGCCTGAATTACTGTGGCAGCTCGGTCCCTCACAGTCTTCTCAACTCGCAAATGCTTCAACTTGAGCCTGCTTTGAGCACCACGCCACGACTTTTGCAACACAGTAGCTGCATTGCACATTTCCTGATTCTTCCGCTCTTGATTCCTGCGAGCTACTGCTCTCTTCAGAAGCGAGTACTGACTTCTCTGCAGCCACCCCTTCCAGCAGCTCTGGATCTTCACAGCTGCAACAATCTCGATCTTATTCCTTTCAACCAATAGATGCCCTCGAATATTATTAGTCCAAGAATATCCTCTGGGTGTGCTAGTTTTCGCCTCTAATTTCATATCGTCATTATCCTCCACCTGAACTTGCTCCTCGACATCTGATCCATCCTTTTCCCTGTTCAAGGCCGTGCTGTTCTCCACTGCACCTTGAACCGACGACGTAGAAGCACTAGCAAGCTCACATACTCGTACCTCGAATTCCAGATCCTGTAATTGTTTTTGATCGGCATCAAATTCAGCGAGGGTGGATGTCCCTATCTGACATCCTTCCTGCACTTCAACACTAGACGAACTCACAAAAAGCTCGACTGTGTGTGTTCCCTCAAATCCTAAGACCCGCGGCTTTGATCCCTTATTCTCATCGACTATATCTGAGCAAGACTCTTCTGAACGAGAACATGCCGTATTATTAACAGTGCCATCTCCACCCTCGACTAAGTTGGCACATGCCGGCGTGATCGTCGAATCAGTCGAACTGGTAGTATCATCCGCGGCCTTGCCTACATTAGAAGGGGAAACTGAGTGGTCTTCCGAGTTGCTTGCAGGGTTCCCCTCTACATCCGTCGGTCTAAGATCGCGAAGGGCTATATCTGTACCTGCTGACCTCCCAATCAGCTCCCTCTCATCTTTGCTCTTCGTTGCAACAGGTAGCCCTGGATCACCACCTGTGCTCCGTATCTCAACTTTACCAGCATCCTCCACAACTGAACCTCCTTCGGAAGAGAAGGAGTCCCTCCTTCCATTGACAAACTCTTTAGCGACGGACTTGGTCGACGAGAAGTTGCGAGTAGCCCATGCAGTTCGATGTATGATTCTCTCTTGTTGCGGCTGCACGACAGGAGCTAGAAACCCCTGCTGCTCTTCCTTCAAATCATTGTAGAGCAAGTGCATTCCCGCTGTAATCGATAGTTTGTGCTTGAGCCTCTGCGAGGCAGGCACCCCGGATGCCCCTCCATAGGAAACCACTCGCCTCATCTGCAGACATTCAATATAACCAAGTCTTCGGTGAGATATTACATTCGAATCCAACCACGATTATCTATGTGGTCATATGCTCGCTATTGTTCAACAGCTCTAGGCCCTGAACTTGAACCCCAAATGACAGGCGATCGCTGTGCCCATATGGAGAGCAAATTGAAGGCCAAATCCTCATGGGTGACCGAAGGGGAAGTACAGCCAAAAGCTTGTTTATGGGCTTTATCTTCTCCAGATAACTCGCTAATGTTCCGGCAGACTATCGTTCTTCTGGTCCTTCATGTGACTGTTGTAATCACAATGGCGAAAGGGTGGGCATAAGAATTGTAACCCGCACAGGTTATAAGGATTTATAACGAGCTCTTCGTGCGGCGATTTCGAAGTGAGACCTGCTGGCTGCGCACAGACCGAGAGTGGAAAAATTGACACAAGGCGATTGAGGTGAAGAGCTTAACAACCAGATGACTCGGCCTAACTGTAGATGAACAATATCTTGCAACCTGTCGTCGGAAGGTACAACAGTCTAGTACGGTGACCCTAGAGTGAGGAGGACGTGTGACTTGCAGGAGCTCCAAGATGACATAGATCTCTCTTGTTGTGCAGTCTCGGGGCCGGAAGAAGATAGGTGCTTCTGCCACACAACATAAGATGCTGGCCGAAGCGCCCAAGAGACGGGAGTATATTCAACTTCAGCAGCCGGATTCCCTAAAGCGGTGTACATTATTCCTAGACGAGGGCCTGGATAAAAAAGGTGGAAATGATTCCTGTGTCTGGACAGCAATCGATTCATCGCCCCAGAAAAGGGTTTCGCTCACAGAAGCATCAAAGGCCATCTGAAGAGAAAAGAACTGAGGATACGTTCGACAGCAATTGTAACAGCTTATGAGAAAGTAACCAACCTCAGAAACTTCAGGGTTTGAGAACCATACTGCTCAACGTGCACCATATCCACCGCCCTGCCCGGCAACCATTGCACGCAGAGACCGGAGACCCCCGCCGCTCACATGGGTGCAGAGGTCGAAGCAACCACGGGACAACGATCGAAAGCACCGAGAGGAAGGCAAGCAGGCAGCAGGAGGGACAGCGCCGGGGAAAGGTCGACAGAGAGGACGGAGGCGAGGGACTGAGCAAGGCGGGATCGATCGGAGGCAACGAGGAGGAGGAGCAGACAAGGCGAGTCGATGCGGAAAGACAGCGGATCTGGCGTCTGGGGTGCGGGGTTCTCCTCGCTCGCGCGGTGCTTGCGAACGCCGAGGCCGGACGGCAGCTGGCGGTCCTCACGTGAATAATTGACGAGAGCAGAGCTGTAGAGCGACGAGTCTGGCGCAGGAAGAGTCATGATCGGCCCCCATCGCCTTCTTGGGCTTCTTTCTTTTCATGCCTTCTCGCTCTCCTGCTCTCTTCTATGGCTCCCACTCTCGCCCAGGCCCGGCCCTGCAGCGTGCCATTTGTTCTCGCGCGAGAGAGACAGCCCCGAGCCCTGCAACTATTGGCGCCTTGACTTTCAGGAATTATGCAGTGGGGCCCGGGCGCTCGCGGCCCACAAACCCCGGACCCTTTCTTCGGGGACCGCCGGGCCGTGACCGAGCGCAGACCAGCTGAGATTCTGTGGCTGCTCATTTGCCTCGACCTGCTGTTTCCTATCCCTCGCCTTCTCCCTTCCTTCGTCTGGACCTCGAGCCCGGCCGGAACGCGTCCGGCGACCAGCCCACGACGTGCTCTTCGTCACTTTCCGACAGCACGACCTGCCGTCGAAGAACGGACCCTCGAGCTGCCTGCGTCTTGCAGTTCGCCCTTCCTGATTTCCCCTCCACGGGAATTCTCCACGGGAATCCACACCGAACACCGATATGAGAATGAGCTCGAAAGAATGAGCTGGAGACACGAACTTTGCAATTTCCGACGGCTGGGCTCTGAGCGCGTGAGAGGATCCCGTCAGCTTTGATCTTGGCTTGAAAGGTTTGACCGAAGCATTCCGGTGGCAAATATGAATGCCATTCTTGAAGCATTCACAACGTGCAGATGAAGGCGGTAGCTTGAAGCTCGAGGGTTTTGATTTTTTGGCTCGGACGGTCTTGGAGTTTTCGAACCGTCGCATGTCACTGTCTAGTTAAATGGAATTGGTGACACGCGTTTAAGCACAGTGTGTCTTCGGTGCAAGAACACATACTGTACTTGCAAGTATGATGCTATTCGGGCTAGATCCATGTAATCAAGCTATTTATGTTTATAAACTTGTTAGTTTCAACATGTTGATAACTTGGTATATATGGGATATCTTCGGTGCCTAAAAAACATACTTTCAAGTATGGTGCTATTAGGATAAGACCCATGTAGTCAAGCTCCTTTTTGTCAAGAAATATGTTAGTCTCGATGTGCTTTGTAAAAATTTCAATATTGATGTAAGTATGTATTAATTTACATATGGAAGGTTTTTTTTCCCAACATTTTAGTAAAACTGGATGCTTTCAAAATAAATAAATAAAGAAGTAAATATTTTTAAAAATTGTAAATAATGTAACAAGAATCATTTCTCTAGTTTATTAATATCCGTATTGATTTTACAACTAAATATTGCAACACAAAATTTAGAATTTTGTGTTGCAATATTTAGTTGCAATATTTAGGCTAATTTAGTTTATTTGCCACAACTATCTTCTACTGACAAATCTGAATCACATGCATCACTGCATTGCCAACTTGAGAATAATACTATAAATTAAAAAATTACTTTCAAAATGTGATGTAACTTAGTTGTTACTATGTATGTGGAAACGATTAAAATAATTTAAAAAAATATATTGCTACAGCAGTTCAGATTGTAAATGATATAGCTCAAATAAGAATTCTTTAGAAAAAACTTACAAAGAGTTAGCTATAATTAATATTGAAAATGTTTTGAACTGAATAATTTGAAGCAAAAAGTAAACTTCACAAGCATATTAATCAGCTTTTAATAATATATCTTCGAAAAAATTTTAAATTTACATATTTATTTTTCTAAAATCTGAAGTAAAATGATTTTAAATAAATAATTTACATTGTATTATGTGATAAAAATTGTGAAGTTAAAATTTGTCATGATAAGTTGATTAGTCATGACTGTATGTAGTTTTATTATTCTGATTCTAATGATGAAAATACTAAATATAGAGCCAAAGTTAATTTTAAAATAGATGTTATGAATTTTCAAATTCTTTTCATGTTTTAGCAGGCATGTGAAACGTAAAGTAAAAGCAGATAATATTCATGATCAAATACTATTTAGTGTATATAATTTCATTGTGTTTTTATCTTGTCAAACCTACCTTGTATTCATGCTTTTTGCTTACAGCATAAATATTCTTAAAATAATGAACATTAAGAAAAGATCATATAGAAAAGAATACTCGATAATAAACATCATTGAAGCATGTCAATCAGAAAAAAATCTACAAGAATTATGTGACAAAATTGGGAAAAACTTAATCTTGATTTATTATAAATGTTTAAAAAATAGATGAAATTAACATCCAAAAAATATTTTTTTCAAAAAATATTTTTCATTGTACAGCTAATTCAACTTTATTCAGTTTAAGTGATCATTATATTGTCAAACAAAGATTAGAAAAAAATGAAATAGATTGTATGAAACAATTGTACGAGTAATGTTGTCATGTATACTCTTAATCAATTGTTACAGGATAAAAAAAAATTAAGCAAGCATGTATTATGTAAGAATAATAAATGCTACCATGAGAATGAGGATTTTAAATCACAAGATTTGTGATTGTGATGTCAATAACACAAGGAGATGAGATTTATCATATAGTTTGTGTGCATTCAGAGTGATATGGCCACAACATTTGATTTTTTGATCTTAAATATGACATCCAACAGAAAAAATATTAAAATGAACAAGAAATAGATGTGTTGTTAAGTGATAACACAAATCATACAAAAATTTCATGAGTAAGTAATTTTAGGTCAGAATTCAATTCAAAAAGTTGCAAAAAAAATTTAAATAAGAGAAAAATTTCATGATCAAACTAGACAAAATGAAGCTAAAATATATCAGCTAATATTAAAGAAGGTTATTAAAAAACATCAACATTATGATTAGTAGAAAGACAGAATAAAGAAAAAACCTAAATTTATATTCTCAATGTTAGAAATATGAATCTTGATGGTGATGAAAGTTCTTCTAACTTACAAAATGTAACAATGAATGAAAAAATAAAGTTCATGTAAAAAATCTTTTGGAAGAGTGAAATGATGAAGTTGGAATAAGCATGGAAAGCAAAAAGGAACTATGGAGAAGTTTGCAAGTTCAAAGAATGTTCATTAAAGTTAATGAAATATAAAGAAAAGAAGTTGTATTAGAAATTATACACGGTAAAGCAAGAAGTAGACGTTGAAATTAAGTTTAGTAATTCGATGTTCTGAATTTTTTTTCCAAATGTGATAAAGCTCAAGCATCATGGTTGTAACAATAAATAACAGGTGATGAATAAGCATATTCACTCTAGTAGGAAGAAGAAGCAAGCGAAGATGTATAATTGCATGGCATGATATATAGATTCTTGAGTATGAGATAAACATTTTTATTATAAAGCGGATATTATAGAAATAGGTTTCTAAATATGTATTGAGAATAGTGATGGGATTTATTTTCAAAAAGAGAGTGATGACAGTGCATCCTGATTTGTAATGGATGAAGCAATCGCACTAGATGAACAATAATTAATTTGCTCAGTAGCAAGAGAATCAAAGTTGATGCACATGAATCATTATTTTTCAATTTTAGAACGGTTTCAGAACTCGAAGAATGTAGTAATACCTATCCTAGATTATCTCGGAGATATAGTGATTAATTCTATCAAAGTGTGTACACTAGAATGGGTACATGAAATTGATCCGTGCCATAGTTCACGTTGCTTAGAGGAAAGAACAAACAAATACGATTTAAACTGACACAATTCGTCAAGGTTTGGAGAGGCATAGATTCATGGTTGGTAAGTAATTCCATTGGACGAAGAAAGCTTGCTGGGAGATCAGTAAGATTGAAATAGCGAAAACCAAGTTTGTGTAGCGTGAAGCATCAACTACATGATATTTTTGTTTGAGATTTCACATAAATTAGCATAAAACATTAAGTAGGTTTTATAATTCCTTCTTTTTTTTTAGATGTGACGCGAAAATGAAATGGAAATGATCAGTTAGTTGATGAGGAACTGAGAGATGTTCACATCCACAGGTCGGAAATGTCAAGATACGAGTGTACAATAAACGATGTCCAGGACATTCTAGTACAAGAGGTGAAACGCACAAGTCTAATTAAATTCATAGTGATTCGTCTCCAATCTTGCCTGTTATAACGAGGAGACTTTCCTCCATCAACGCATCCGTCGTTTACTCATCATCAAGTGTAAGTTCAGTATTCTGCTACATGCATGTGTTGAGATGAGCCGTTCGGCGAAAATAGATGCTAGATCAGGGTATTCGGACTGTACGTAATCAGAGTGCGAGCAAAAGTTGTGAAGTCATCATGTTCGGTATGGTCTATCATAAGTCGTTTCATCTAAACAGGCACTCAAACGTAACTGGTTTGTTACAGTTTCGGCAAAAACAAGTCGGTAACGTCGCTTTTTGTAGTAGTCCATCACATTCAAAGATCTAACTATTGAATTACACAACCATTCGGGTTCGAGATTGTATATACAGCGCTCTCTGAAACTTGGACATTTATACCCTCACTTTTTCCCATTTTTGAACATATTTGGAACGAGAGAAATTCCACCATATTGACGGCTTATACCTGCGACACAAAATTTGCAAATGAATCGAAAATGCCACCCCTTTGTCTCAATGAAGGACACTCTTTGCCGAAATGGCTGAAGTACTCTGTTATGACTTTGAAAAAAACAAGGTTGATGTATCCTCCGCGGATCGGCACACAAGCGATGTAAGCACAAAACAGTTTCTATCTTCGCGAACATTTTATCAGAACATTCTCATGTGTAATAAACATGACACACATTTCTTCCGTGCGAGGCATCTACGTCCCTGCTTATTCCCCCTCACAGATACCTATGCCAGAAAACACTTATATAATTATAATCCGTACGACTAAACGACAATTTGATGCATTGACATTTCGGACAGTAAAACGACAACATAGTAAAGTCAAAACCTTGACACATAGACTCCAGTGCATGAGCCCAAGTTCGTATAACCTAGCATACAATCTTCTTCTGAAATTACAAGTTCACTTATTGTGAGGCTTAACAAAGATCTAAATTAAAAATCGCAACCCAAGCCGGCCGCAGTTGCTTAGTGCGTGGTCAAAACTCACGATTGAAGTGTAAGACAACTTTCCTTCCTCAATGAAACAGACCGACTAGAACAAGTTCTACTCTAGGGTCATCTCATAAACGGTAAATCTCAAGTGCAGACCTGCAGTCAATCACTGTTCTGGACTTTAGGGAGGTAGTAATAGATACATTGTCGTTATTGACTCTACCTGCCTTCCAGGCCAAATGTAAGCTTCTGCAGTAAAATTCACAATATCACCAACATACACCTGCAGAAATAGCAAGCAAAAAGACCTATCTATGTACAATTGCGTGCAAGGTCTTACCTACCCAGAAAACAAATACACAAAGGTCCTTCAAATTCTGCCCTCTTTTTGTGGTATCAGTGCACACCGGTGCACAGACAAAGTCTGAGAGTCCCCAGAAAGAAACGAAGAATTATGAACCTACTTTGACCTCCAACTATCGCCCAAACCAACCCTTCGGTGGTGGCTGAGCATCGCCGCCATTCATGAGTTTATCTAAAACGATATTCAAATCCACCGATTGCCCATTTTCTGTCAGTCGTCTCACAACAGCCCTGACCTGGTCCTTAGAGAATCCCATGGCTGTCACTTTGTCAATCACTTCGTCTATTGGCACTCGATTCGTCGAAAGGGGAGGTGTTCCAGGAGGACCACCTCCGCTACCACCAGCCGGCATAGCATGAGGTAAAGGCTGTGCAACAGGCAACCGTGGATACCCACCACCAGAAGGAGCTGATGGGACTGGCTGTGCAACCCGATACGAGGAGCTGGGGTATCCACTTCCAGGTGACTGAGGTTCATAGATAGGAGAATTAGAAACCTGCTGTGCTTGAGGGAGATATGGAGGTGGCAGGGCCAACTGCCCAGACCCGTTCCTTGCTAGAGAGGGATCGTACATGGGAACATTGTGATGCTGTTGGATATGTGAACTTGGTGGAATTTGAGAAGACTGACGTGGAGGTTGAGCCAAGCCAGAACCAGGCGGTCCATAGTTTGAAGGATGATAACTGGGAAGGTCTGAAGGGTAGCTTTGGGGAGTTGGAGGGACATGATGAGGACCCTGAGGATGCTGGTTGTAAGCTGGAGCCTCTGGTTGGTGGCCATATGTTGGCATCGGAGGTGGTGCCTGTGGAAGAGGTTGCTGCTGTTGAGAATAGAAGGGCATGGTCATCTGAGATGGTGGTGGTGGTGGTGGTGGAGGAGGAGAATGTTGTGAATGCGACATCTGTTGAGGAGGTGGGGGAGGAGGAGGAGGCTGCTGCTGCTGCTGCTGCTGCTGTAGAATTTGGTGAGAAACCTCACTCTGTTGCTGCATCTGTGGTCCTTGATGCACCCCTCCTTTTCCTTTTTTCTTGCTGGGATTCCTCTGTTGTTGCTGTGGTTGGTGCTGTTGGGCTTGTGGCTGCGGCTGTTGCTGTTGCTGAGGAAGAGGCTGCGGCAGTGAATGAGAAGGTACGGAGGGCAGCTGCAGCTGCAGCTGCTGTAGATGTTGTGGCTGAGGTTGCTGGTAGTGGGACGAGGCCACATTCGACATCTGCTGCTGTGAATCTTCCAAGAGAGCCTTCCCTGATGAAGCTCGTGACAACTCAGGCAATTGCTCAATAACTGGAGGGGGTGCCGAGGGAGCACTGTTGTGAGGTGCAACGTCACTCTTGGTGACAGCTTGAAGCTTGGCAAGCTGCGACTGTGCTTCTGCAAGCTCTTGCCTATCACGGAGCAGCTGTACACCTCTTTGAACCTGCAGCCAATTCACCCGATCTTCAGACTCGGCTAGTAGGAGGTCGATTCCTCCCGAAATATGACTCAGTACAGCTACAACAAAGACTTCAGTCCAAAATCGAATCAGACTTCTGCCGTTTTGATCTTCTTTTGGCAAAAACTCTAGACACATGAGGTGCAGAAAGGGGAAACGCAAACTGTTCCTAACTCTCCCAAAAAGCTAACGGAAAAAAGTTTTATTGAGTATTCTACTCAGTACCGACAACTGAGGACGGCGTTGAAGGCTATACCTCCAATATGTGATTTTCCAATGAGCGCAGCTTTCCATCAACTTCCCCATGATTGTTGACAACGTCATTTCTTATTTCTCCATACAACTCCTCAAGACGCTGAGTAGAAGACTCCAACTGAGAAAGTCGCCCGCTCATACCTTCGAGCACTCTCAGCAGATTATCAGCATACTTCTTCATTGTGCGTTCCACAGCAGCCACCGTAGCTGTCTCGAAAGATTCCTTCTCATGCTCCTGTGACCTAGGTAAAGGGGCTTCATAAGTTGGAGGAGGTTCCCGGGATCGACGTACCTGCTAGGAATGTCACTCAAACTTCAGTCCGAAAATTGAACACAGAAACAACACCGGCTAAAGTTGTACAAATCGTTAGCTTGAGTGGACCCTATGAGTATTGGTGCTCAGAGCTTCACCTTCGAGATAGGATCAATTGTAACGTGCATATAACTTTCAGCTTCGTAGCTCCAAAGGTGGACAATACAATTTCCTTCGATAAAATGTGGCAGCTGATTTTGGCTCGCAAACTACTCAGTGCAACCTTGTATGCCATGGGCCTACTATCAACCAGAAATCTTACCCGAAATGCATGTGCCGCTTTCAAAATATCGACATTCAAACGTAGAACACCCGGACAATCGATGCTTGCATGAGCACACAATTAAGCAAAATCCGTTGACAATTCCAGAAGCAAGGCAAGTAATGTGCATTGAATGAAAAGCCCAAATATCTTATCCTTACTCACATCTTTACGCGATCTGAACTACAGAAAGTAATTCAGCTCCTGCGTGTCGAACACGATCTCAAAGTTGCATATGAAAAAAGAGAACAAAAGTCGCTACCTCTCATACTGATTTTATCGATCTCCTATGTTCCAACTTGGAATTTCCGACAGAATGAGATCAGCAAGAGCTGATATCCACAAGCAGTCTCAAATACTACGGTGTGTAGTTGAAAAACCATAGGAATCTTCTCGAAATTGGAAGAAATAGACGTCAACAATTTAGGTTGAACTAAGGAAAGTGGATCTCCACTATCATGACGTCAAATTGATCACCCAAGAAGTCTAGATATACCTCTGTGATAGTGCAAGGCAGATGCAGTCTACTGTCGAGGTCTGCAATTCCATAGATCGAAACTTGAGAAAAACAATGACTCCAACTTTGGTGTAATCGATGAGACGCTTACCATAGGTTCATAAGACGAGTACGAAGGTGGGGGCGAAGCTTGACGGCTTCGGCTCTCTTCCATTCTTCCTGCTCCACTATTGCTCGTCTTCAAAGGAGGAGCCCCCGATGTCCGAATTGGCTGGAAATCGAAGCTTGGTAGGACATCGTCGCTAAAATTAAATTCTCCTGAATTTTCCATCTTGGAACTATTTTGAGGTGGGTTTTGACCCAACGATGACGAGGACGTCACCGCAGGCTGCAACAAATCAAAAAAAGGTTCGTTTTGGGCACCCGGCTGATGATTTGTCCCAATGCCGAGGGAGCTATCCATCGATTTCTACGAGCCCTCAAGGTAAGCAAAGCCAATCACTCCTGGGTCAACGGCACCAACAGATGCAATGCAGTCGCAGAAGACTGAAGCCCAATTCTACACCGGACAGCACCTCAGCAACCCGACTTCGGGATCCGACTCCGGTGAAAGCTGCATCCCGGCAGCGAAGTCGACGACTGACAGACGAGTGTAATTTCTTCCGGGAACTCCTAGAGCGATCAACCTGTCCCTTCACAACAATCAACTCAAAAGGCTACTACTCTCATCTCCTCGGCTTTCACAGTTCAGATACGCGCACCGTAGCCCAATTACTTGAAGAGCTTGCCACAAACGAAACGGTCAATCGCACCGCCAGCCAACTCCATCCCTCTGTATCCGAAAAAGTACTTTTCCCTCCTCCCTCTCTCTGCCTCTCTCCCTCCCTGCCTCCGACTTCTCTTGCCGCTTACTCAACACCCACTCCCTCCTCCCGTCACTCCACCGAAAACTATCGACATGGAACGCGGTTTTAACCTCTAGCGCAGCACAGAAAAGAACGAGGAAATTTCACTGCTCGTCCTCCTTTTGCTTAACAACTCATTCACATCACCACAATCATCCTCATCCACAGCACCAGCCAGCACCAGCAGCACCGAATAAAACACCGGGCACAAGAAGGGGAGGAAGGAGGACGGAAGAAGACGCAGCAGCGACCGCAGCAAGAAGCTCTGCAGAAAAGTAAGCGAAGGGAAGGGAGTGGAAGGGGTCAAGGAAAGCAGCAGCGCCAACTTCATTTCTTGCAGGCCAAACTTTATAACCTAACCTACTTCGGGCCACAACCTCGTCCTTGGACTTTACATCCAAGCACGACCACCTCTGGCGCTTGGCACGGCTCGGTCGGCTCCAACGCAAAAATCAAAGCCCGGCCGAGCATTCATTTTGGCTCATCGGAGGCCCCCAATAATCCGACCCCTATTTGACGATGGCCGGCTCCCTTGGCCCTGGGTGGAAACATTACGGTAAACCTTTGCATGCACCGTCTGCTCTTCGCTTCATAAATCCTGTCCTTTTCCGATTGCCAATGGAAATGTCGACTTCACTTTGGATAATGTGAATATTCTTCGGAAATAAGTCCCAAATTGATGCGATAATCTGATATCAGCTTCACGTCTATTTTATCTGACGATATGGCTTACGTGTTCCCCGTGGCACATCTTACATCTTCCGGTCAAGTTCTGTCATTGTCTCCGAATGTGAAGTTTTTGCGAAACTTCTCTTTCCAGGTAAAATGTGGTGGGGGTAAGGAGCTTTGAAGTGTCTACGTGTCGAAATCATACTGGTTTGAATATTTGTTCAAGGTGCAGTATGGTGTATATTCCCTTTCGATGCTGTTGGGACGGAATCCCATCTTACCCCCTTGGTTTATACTCGTACGATTCGATGGGAGCTTCCCATCCTTTTTGGTATATTAATTGGAATCCCGAAGAAAAGGTTAGTAACGTTTTTCAAAACGGATTTACTTCAACAAACTCGTCCATTGCGCCAACACGGTCATTTTCCTTATATTTGATATTAAATTTCCTGCCTTTAGAAATCATCGTTCCACAAAGACGGCAATGGTTCCAATCCAATATATAATATGTCTAACCTCGCGCCAGACATGGTGGGCTTTTCTAGGGATAACGTATCACCAAGACTTGACTGTTTGATTCTAGAATTTTGTATATTATTTTGTTTGCAAATGTGTTTGTAACTAGATGTTAGGCGTTAGGTTAGATGTTAGGTTAGGCTAGAAGCAAAATAGCTTGAAGAAAACTGTCCGATTAGCGTATCAGCTACCACCCTTAGTAAACACCACGTGAAAACATTGCCTCCAATAAACCGTGAGGGAGAATCCCTTCCATTGTGCTGCCGGGGCGCTGTGGACGGAATTCTGACGTTCTTGCGAACGAATAATGTGAACAAGATGCTGGACTAGATTGACGGAAGACACGTTCATACTGTAGTAATCCCCCGGTGACGAGATTTGCACTTTCTGTGTTCATGCGAGGTAACCGGAGACCCAGAACCTCGAAAGTTATTATTAGCCCAAACAGTACATATACTTTCAATCAGTGCCTTAGCAAAAGATCCGCGGACGATCGCTTCGGGCCTTCATTACTTGAGGACAAAGTTTACGATTCCACAATGTCTCTTTTCAACTGTATACCGCGTTCCTGTGTAGGCAGATGAATGTTTTTCTACGTTTAGTAAGAGAACGCGTACCAAGTAATAGAGCAAGGACATCAAAAAACGGTTTCCATTTGGGCAGATGGATGTTTTTTACGCTCAGTAAGAGAAAGGGTACCAAATAATCTAACAGAGAAGAAGTTGATCAAAAAAGAAACCATTTCCCCTCCAAATACCTGTCACATCACGAACATACAAATGACTTACCTGAAAAAAAAACCTCTTAAAGACAACTCCTCACGCCATATCTTAGAGACCAACTACTTTTCAATTAGCAATATGTGGGCTTGTCACTCTTCTACTGTCCCACGGATTATTAACGGGACCCGGTCCGATGAATTCGCTATATTTGTTCCAACCTGATGTTGGGTCGGGATTATTCAGGTATCGTGTCCTACTTTTCTTCTACTTTTTGGGCTTTGTGTTCATTCATACCTCTCTATCTTTGTAGGCGTTTCTATGCTATCTAACCCCGAATTATATATGTGTGTGCCAAGGGCAAGGTGTTCACATAGTTTGGAATGGGAAAGAGTAAACTGATGTGGTAGTGGCTCATACATCAACAACCAGAGCCGTAGAAAAAGATACTAAACCACATGACACATTAATAATAATAAACATTAGTTTTAAACAAAAAATAGAACAAGTTAGGATCCACGTTATCTCTTGCCACCAAATTAACTTAACATTAATCATGAAAAATCTATGAACTAGAATCTCATTCAAGGCCGTAAGAGCTTGAATAGACATTATTGTTTGGACATGAGTACACATTTGAATATATGCTTGTGATGGAGATTTGTAGTCTGTCAATCATTTATAATCTTTGCTTGGATTCATCAGTAGTTTAAAATATAGAGATCTGTATTGATCGCAATTTGACAAAGACATCGCTGCGATTATCTTGTCAACCATATATTGCATCATTATGTGAAGAACTTTGTTTTTTTTACTCTGATTTGCCTGACATTTATTTCAAAATACATCAAGATTTGGCCCATCCAATCAATGTGCTTTTGAAATCTCATCTTTTTTGAATTGTTTTAAATTGTGTGCAGATTAAGCTTTCACATAAGCGATTTCACAAAGTGAATTTTGTATAGGGCTTGGCAATAGATTCTTACCACACTTCTTACATAGATTAAATCCAAAATTTTTGTTGTTTACTTGCTCTATTCTTAATTTTTTTGACTTCGTGCAACACTATAGCTTTGACTACTTTGTCTTTGGCATGTGACTCCTCGATAGTTTCTTTTGCGATCACTAACATTTCAATTTGTTTTTTAGTCTCCAGAAAGTTTAGAGCTAGTGTTTAGGAACTCGAATCTTGGCAACTTTTGTGATTTGTTTTGAATGATGTGCTGAAGAATTTTTCACAAATCCGGGTTTGTGGGTCAGTTTGGGAAGCCCAAAAAGTACACAGCAAAATCTCACTTAAACTCTTGGAGTAGAACACAAACATCCATCTCTCCTACACTGGTCGACCTTACTAACCAAATATCCACACTCTCTTTACTACTGCGTACGAAGATTGCATCAAAGGTACCTACTCACACGAGCAAGCCCGTTTAAGTACCTCTTCGACTCCCACTACCCGAAGCAGGGAAGTTCCCAGCGAAACCCCCCAATGCTACTATTTTTGGCGGAGCACCACCTACAGACTAATCTCTAGCAAGAACCAAATAAGGTGAGTCTAGAAGCTTCTTGGTTGCCTAACATTCATCCCACACTTTTAGTAAAATCCTTACTCAGATTTTTACTAGTTGAACATGTAGACATAAGCTTTCTTTAATTTATCATGATTAACTCTATCTGAATATTTTATGTCGTTTAAATTGAGCAAGGAATAAGTTCCGTTTGATGCAAAGACCTCGTTAACCTCATGCGGTCCAAACCACTAGGGACATAGTTTTTTGTGAGTCCTTCAGAAGTGCCGTGAGTCATATACCAACATCAAGTCGACCATCTTGAACACCTTCATCTTTATTTTTGCATCACACACCTTCTTCATCTTTGACTGAGCCGCCTCCATAGCCTGCCTTGCCTGCAATTGGAACTCGTCCAATTCGTTAAGTTGTACCAAGCTTCTTCGTTGCGACTCATCTAGATCCAAATGTGCGTTGGAAGCAGTGCAAAGTGTCATCAATTCATATTCTATCGGAAGTAGAGCCTTCATGCCATAGGCTAAACGAAATAGAAAGAATCTTGTAGCAATTTTGAATGTGGAATTATAGACCCACATTGCATGATGGATCTTGAGATCCCAATCACTCGCGTTTGGCCTAGTTTCCGCTTCCTTTGCCATCAAAGAACACAATATCTTGTTTGTCCGTTCTACTAGTCCGTTTGTACTTGGCTTATACATCGTCCTAAATCTATGTTTAATTGCTAAGCGTTCCATCAGGTCTGCCCACACCTCACTCGTGAATTGGGGACAGTTATCAGAGACAATCTTTAACGGAATGTCAAAACGAGTTACTATGCGTTCATACAGAAATCGTGCTACTTCTGTCTTGACTGAAGTTTTCAGCGCTCGAACTTCCACAAACTTTGTTAGATAATCTATGGCAACTACAATGAACCAATGTACTCTTCTAATAACTGGCAAAGATCCCATCAAATCTATACCCCATTTCTTGAATGGACCTAACGGAGGAATGGGATGCAAAACGCCGCTAACCGTTGATCTATTGGCAAATGCTTGACATATCTCACAACGTTTACAATAATCAAAACTATCCTTGAACATTGTTGGCCAATAGTATCCTGCCGCTAAGATCTTCTCCACCGTAATGCGGCCCGCAAAATGTTCCCCACAAGACCCTTCATGAAATTCACATAACAACCGTGGTATTTCTGCCTTTCCTATTGCACGTCGGAGTATATGATCTCTCCCACAAAAATATAATAAATCACCAATCAAGGTGTAAGACAGACTCTTATGCGCAATTCTAGTCCTAACTTGTTTGGTTGCATCTTTCGGGAAAATCATACCTTGGATATATCTGATGATATCTCTATACTTCTCGGGTTGGTTGTTAACGTCAATTGACATCAACGTTGCGTCGGAAAAGTCATCATCCTCGGAAACAACGCCCACCTCCTTCTCCATCCGCGAAAGAAAATCAACGTTGCCATGTTTCGCACCCGCGTGATGTACAATCTCTAGGTCAAATTCTTGAAGTAGAATGATCCATCGCGCAATCCTTCTCGTCTCGTTTGGCTTGAGAAGATAAACCAAAGCTTGATGATCTGTCACCACTGTCGTTCGCGTTTCCAACAAGGAATGCCGAAATTTCTTCAAAACAAAAATAACACCTAACCCTTCTCGCTATGTGACTGTTTAGTTCATTTATGCTGATGTGAGTTGCTTGCTAGCGTAATATATGGCGTGGTCATACTCCTCTATATCCAACTATGCTAACGTTGCCCCCACTACTTCTCCCGATGCATCTGTAAAAACAAAAAATGGTTTCTCCCAATCTGGAGTTCATAACACTGATGCTGACAACAATGATCGTTTGAGCGTTCCAAAAGCTTCTCTAATGCCTCTGGTGTGGCTTGAGAAGCTGGACTATCATCTTTTAAAAACCTAGTTAAAGGTTTGGCAATCATCGCGTACTGGTGAATAAAACGACGATAATATCCAGTTATTCCCAAAAAGGCTATAATTCCACGTTTAGTGGTAGGGAAGGGCGCTTCTACAATAGCCTCTATTTTATCTGGATCCGTACCGATTTCCTCCATGGAAACTATGTGACCCACTAATCTACGTGATGAAAATCCAATCTTAGTTTTTTTTGCTCTAAGTGTAATTCCTAACTCATCTAAGCGCTCAAAAACCTTCTCTAATTTCTCCAAGCTAGAAGCCATATCTCCATAAATTCCAATTTCATCCATAAACACTCGTAGAAAGTGTCTTAAGTACGGTTCCAAAACTTTATTCATAAGCCTTTGAAAAGTAGCCGGAGCATTGCAGAGTCCAAATGGCATTACCTCATAACAAAAGGTACCCCATGGTGACATGAACGTGGTCTTCAATTGATCTTCCTCCGCGATTCGCACTTGATGATATCCGCTGTAGCCATCCGCAAAAGAGTACAATTCATGTCCCCCCATCTCCTCGAAAACCTCGTCACAAAACGGGATGGGATATCTATCTTACTTCGTGACATCGTTGAGTTTTTTGTAGTTCACACAAACTCGTAACTTATCATTTTTCTTAAGGGCTAAAGTGATGAGAGATAGCCATTCAGTATTCTCCACTGGTCGGATGAAGCCAGCTATGAGGAGTTTTTCCAACTCTATTTTCACTACCTCAACGTATTTGGGATTCATACAATAAGGCTTTTGTCGGACTGCATTCGCGTTTTGAACGAGCTTGATTTGATGTGTCTCTAAAGTAATCTCCCTTAAATCCTTGTAAGTGAAGGCGAAGAGGTGAATGAACTTACGTAGCAGGTGGTGAAAACATTCACGTTCCCGAGGATACAGTTCTGCGCCAAGTCGAATCTGATTTAGTCTCCAAGTTATCTCCTCGTCTGTCAACATCAGCTTCTTCCTGGTTGGCGTTGCTGGTATTTTCCTCTGTAGGGAAAATTTTCCCTTTGGAACTGATTCTATTGCGTAGAGTCCCACCTCGTTGTTTGAAGAATCGTCGGTGTAGAATCCTTCTGATTCTGTGTAGTTAGCCTCTCTCGAATCCGAATTGGATTCATTCGACAGTGATGCACCTCATAGATGTACGAAAGTAATGCGTTGTCGATATGATCCTTTTCCAATGATCATATAGCCTTCACTTTAATAGTTCCGTACGTGTGCCTTTATCAGCCATGGTCGACCTAAGATCAAGGGATATGATCCATCTTCTTCTAACACCACATGAAAATATATTGAAGTGGAAATACCCAAAACGTTGATACAAACAATGGAATTCATACCTTACGGTTTACAGATTTTTTTTGTTTGCCATTTTCAAGGTAGTGGACGACGGTCTTTCAATTTCAAGGCCTATATACTTCATCGCTGATATAGTCATTACATTGACACCGGCTCCTCCATCTACTAGAACACCTCTCAGCATAGACCAGTTACATCCAACATTTATTATGGGATCATATCCTGTTCAACTGCAATGGTATTGAGAGACCTAGGGATAGATGGAACCTTATACGTTGAAAAGCTCTTCCTCAACTCCTTACGAACTGGTGGTACCATGGCCACTTGTTGGCCAATAGTGATGTCTGACTTTTTACCTCCCACGTCATCCAAGATTGAATATGAACCTTGATTTTTCGAGATGGGGTTATCTTGAGAACCTAATCTTCTATGTCAAGACTTTTTTTTTATCCTTTTTCTCTCGCCATTTCCTTCATCTGATTCACATTCTCGGGTTGAGATTATTCTTGTCTTCTTTTTGCTGCCATTACGTCTATCTCATGCCTTAAAGACTGCTCAAAGTGATCAATCTTTTTCTCCCGAAACTCATCTTGAACTTCAATCAGATTTACCCGATCCCTTCCACTATCATCTGCAGACGACACCCGCCTTGGCGAAAGTCCTCCCTGTCCACAACCCCTTCCACTATCATCTGCAAACGACATCCATCTTGGCGAAAGTCCTCCCTGTTCATTACGATCGCCTGATACATCCCGACTATGACAGTCTCTCGAAATGTGATCCATTTGCTTGCAAGCATAGCACTGTAACTTATTCAAGTCGCGCTCTACACCACAAAAGGTTCTAGGCTGAAGTAGATGAACACTCAGTTGTGTCATTTGCGACACTAGTTGTTCCATAGCAACCTCCATTCGTGAAGTACTCTCTATGGGTCGAGGTAATATTCCTGACGAGAAGCCCTCCAGTGGCTTACGATAATTCTCGACCACATGAGTTTGAGGCACTTCTGCTCTTGTTTCTAAACTTGCTGCCTTCTTTTCTACAATACAAACCTTCATATTTTACTTGTTGCAGCAGTTGAGATAGCAATCCAATCATGAAATGTTTCACCACTAAAGCTTTTATTCCCTCAAAGATCGGATTATCAGACGAACACAATTCACACGATGCTCGCTCACGCTCACACGCACACTCACGAGCTTCGTGAAACGCGGTGACGGGGGGTGTGGCGGCTGGCACTTAGGTTACTTTGGAAACTAGGGTTTTGACACTTAGTCGCATTTTTCAACACGTTTTTTTGAAATTAGCACTACGAGGAGGCGACGACGACGACGAGGGCACACAAAGGTGGATGACGCAGGCAGCAAGACGACGATAGGAAGTCGTGCTGACAAAAACGAGGCCCTCTTGGCTCGTTTTTTCTTGCTTTTTGTGGTTTCTTGTGGTCCTCGAACTCTAGGCGTCTCTACTGAAGGTTTAGTGGAGGCTTCTGTGAACAAGGAAGTTTGCTCCTTTCAACACCGTCACTACGGTTTTCTGGTCATTATTCGTGGCTGAAGATCTTTGGTTGTTTTGTTTTTTCAGGAGACATTGAAGATTCAGCTTAGAGGAGACTTCGAACTGTTCGTTGCTATCTCTTCCCCACGGTTAGCTGCGCTCGGCAGCTGACAGCTACATTTGTGCATCGCTGAGAAGGCTCTGCCGGAACTGTCTTCTAGGAGGTCTAGGCGTTCGCGCCAAGTTTTTTCTGCGGATTCAGCAAAGAAGAGATCTCCATGCGAGGTTTCAGTGTTCAAAAGCATAAGGGTTTCAAGACCGAGCGACATGTGCGGGAGAATCTGCGGGTTGAGTCAACGAGCAAAGATTGAAGATCGTGTTAAGAAACCTACGAGCCATGACTTTGTCGCGACGAGTACCAATCTCCTACACTCGACAGCAAACATCGACAAACGTGAGGCTCACGTAACCCTGTTCTTGATGTCTCGGTAGAATTAGGGTTTTCGTTCTCCATTGAAGACCTGGGAGGTTTGTTGACGAACACACGGCTGTGCAGTTGCGGGGTGTACTGGGGTAGTGCACAATCGAAGCAGATTCAAAGGCCCAGGCACAATTGACTCTAACTGCAGGCACCCAGCGAAAGCTGGAAATACGTGTTTGTTTGTGTTCAGGAGGTACAAGCACGTTGCACCGACGGAAGTGGAGAATTAGGGTTCGGTTCACTGAAGACCTGAGAGGATCGACGTTCACTCGGCTGAACGTTAGCGCACACTCCACAGCCCCAACCCTGGCCGAAACACGAAAGGAAGGAGGAAGGTTCAGGCGATGGTACTGACAAAAGCCGACACCCTAACTAGACGCGGATTAAGGTTTTAAGTGCTCGTGAGGGCCTCGACATGGTGTTACCTCGACGGCAATCGTCACAGTCAGATAGGAAACCGCCAGACATCCCGAGAGTAGGGGAGGATGGAGAAGAACTTCAACAGCAACACCCAGCCCCGCCCTCCAAAACGAAAACATCCCTGACTCAGGGAGTATCTACAACTAATCCGAGCACCTCTGACCGCCCCCCTGCAGACACTAGAAACGAAGTTATTGAGTCGGAGGAAGGGAGCAGCAATGACGACGTCAGCGAAACTAGTGCAGATTCAGACTTCGTCGAACAAGAGGACACATGGGTACGAGCTGCACAGGACCTGGACGAAACTATGTTACTTCTCAGTCAAATCAACATCAGAATCCCAACACAAGAGGTGGAGAAAAGGCGAGAGGAAAAACAAAACCTTACAGCGATACTCTACTTCCTTGACAGAGGGCTAGACATCGAGCCGGTGACAGACTGGGTAGAAAGCGAACTAGTTCGCAACAAGGGCCTGAACGTCTCCGAAACGCTATGCATGGATAACCGCAATTTCCACATTCGATTTACAAATCAAGGAGATAGAGATCAAGCACTGTCGAGAACGAGACTCACTCACCTACGTCGGGAATTTATCATCTTGAAGTGGACCCCGGAAGCTAAAGATCACCAGTATATTCCAGACCGATATCCTGTCTGGGTTAGGTTCCCCGAACTGACGACCCTCCAGTCCCAATGGTTACCGGAACTCGCCAGCTTCCTAGTACCTGTTCTACTCCCACCAGTGCGCATGCCAAAAACAACGCAACGTATGTGCAGGGTCTGCGTGGAGTGGACACATGGCAAGACGCCTCCAACCAGTATTGTAGCTGAGTTAGAGAAGGAAGTGGCACGAATTCCAGTGGATGTCACACATCTTCCAAGCTCATGTTTCAAATGTCGAAAGCATGGACACGTTGCCAAAACCTGCCCAGGAGATCCACTCTTTGCGCAAACAAAAGGAGGAACGAACGCATGAGAAAGACGCGAGCAACAGCCTCCAAGAAACGCAGCTGCACAACAGGTGAACAAGGCAGGAACCAGACCACCAGAGGCGTCAAAATTGCAAGAACCAGCCACGGTTCAAACAGCAAACATGCCTCCTCGAGCTCAACCAGGAATTTATCAACCTCCTGCAATGAGGAAACAGGAGGCTTTGCGAATTGCAAACATATCTTCACTTCAAGATACTTCTACCAAACTTCCCCAACCAGAACGACGACCATCAAGTGGAGTGTCCAAGAAAATTTCCCGTCTCGAAATCATTCCTACGGTCTCTCAAGTTTCAACTGCTGCTGTGATGAGGGAACAGTTAACGATGCCCGCTGCTGGCAACATTTCTGCTCAAAGATCCCAAGGCATGGACCAAACAGAGGTGTTACGTAGCCCCAACCTCCTTCTAAGGTGGAAGGATGCACCAAAGGAAGTCCCCACCTTCCAGAGTCTCAAATCTGTTGAGAATGCAGAAGAAGGCACAGCAACGTCACCGGCACCGGCGCCTAGGAGGTGGAAGCAAGCGTCCAGACGGAAAAAATCTGTCACGACCGAGGCTACTACCGAAGCTACAGGAGCAAAACGCAAACTAACCCCTGAACTTGAATACCGGAACAAGATTCAAAGGGGACTTGGCAGCCCGGCTGAGGTAATTGTGTCGTCACCTCCTGAGTCGTCTCTCGTCCCCAAGCAACTATTGCCCATCCTATCATCTCCTGAAATCGTGTCCAACAAGGGTACGACTCTGGAGATAGAGAAGGGCTGCAGCGAAGGCAAATCGGAACAGCAAGGGAGGATGACCTCCCAGGACCTGAACGCCCTGACTGGTGCAGAAGACGAGAACGCAACCGACCAGAAAGCGGGTCCTAGACCTAAGAAACAGAGCGCCAAAGAGTTCCTCGCAGCACTGGCGCCAAAAACCCGAGGCATGAAAACTGTCTCGACAAAAAAAAGGGAGACGAGGGCAAGAAAGGGAGCAGAAGATAGGTTGGCTGAAATACTGCCCCAAGTTGCGCCTCGACCCTGTAACTCGGCGGGGAGTCCAGCGCTCGCTGAACCGACTACAATTGATGACAATTCTACCACCATGCGCTGCCGGGCGGCCTTTAGTGAGCAATGAACGTCATCCTGCCCAGCACCCCCTCTCCCTTAAACTAGTGTCTTGGAACGTGGGGGGCTTAAACGGGACCACTAGAAAATGCAAAATAAAGGAGCTATACTACAATAGCGAGGTTAGACCAGACATTCTAGCAATCCAGGAGCACAAGCTTGATGAATTTGGTGTAAGTGCAGTAGGCAATCTTCTCAGTTGTGACTTACAAACTGTGTGCTCCCCGGGTCAGAAAGGCGCGAGGGGCAATGGCACTGGAGGGACGGCACTTTTTATTCACAAGAGTTTCAGGATCATGTCATCTGGCATTTCAGAGGATGGCTACGTAACGTGGGCCCAGGTGACAAAAGAGGGCCATGAATTTTTTGTCGCTTCAGTCTACGGACCTCACTCACCAGGAGCAAGGGCAGCTCATTGGACCGCACTGAGAAACATGTTTCCCCATCCGACATTATACTTTGTGGGGATTGGAACATGGTACAACAGCCGGCTGACTCGTCTGGAGAACGCCAAGTTCTCAATGGTGCGGAATCCACGGCATTCCTGGAGTTCAGTGCCAAACACAACCTCCAAGACGTCAGAGAGCTCGCGGCTGAGAACCAAGCCCCTGTGCACACACGTTGGAGTGCATACGGAGGCTACCCACGCTGGGCACGGCTAGATCGGATCTACGTCTCACATGGCGGGAGATGGCTCTCAGCGGTGAATACTGTTAGACATCAAGCACGGAATACCTTGTCTAATCACTTTCCAGTCTCGGCAGAACTAGAACTTGGTATTCTCCAGTGCTCAGATGGGAACTTGTCAAGGAACGGCCCCACGACCTTTAAGTGGAGCCCAGCTTTTATGGGTAAAGATGTTGTGAAGGCAGGAATCCAGCGCATCTGGAAGAAGCTGGCGCACAGGAAAGATGACCCTCGCAGAATTTATAATAGTGGGATGATGCAGGTCAGGAAACTCCTACGCACGAAACAACGTGAACAACGTAGAAGACTCTCGGAGATCCAAATCCTCGAAAAGGAGATCTTTAACCTACACAGCACGCGACCAATGGCGTTAACCCCCTCCCAACTGACTCGGCTCGATTGGCTGAAAACGGAGAAACGGATACGTGAACACGAGAGGGACGTCCAGATTCGACTTTGGTCACGGGTAAAGCACCTCGGCTTGGGAGATGCTCCCACTTAATACTTTTTCAACATCCATCGACAAAACACAGCAAGGGCTCAAATTCTGCAGCTGAAACTGCCAACGGGAGAGGAGACGAGGGACCAAGCAAAAATCCTATGTGCTGTCGGTAAGTACTATGCTGATCTCTACTCAGCGCAAACTTGCACCGAAGAAGACATTTACGTTAGGTCTGCGATGATGCAACGGGTGGAGAACAAACTTACAGACGCGGTACGACTGATGCTGTCAGCACCTCCGACAGTCAAGGAAGTCGAAGATGTCTTGTTCTCACTCCCAGCGAACAAGGCACCAGGCGTAGATGGTGTTTCGGTGGAAGCGCTTAGGAAAACGTGGCCTGTTATGAAAGCGTTTTACCTCGCCATGGTTCAGAAGTTTTGGGAGAAGGGTATTCTTGCAGAGTCAATTACAGAAGGAATGATACGGCTCATCCCCAAATCTTTAAACAAAACTGAACTCAAGGATTGGCGCCCCCTCACAATGCTGAACACAGATTATAAAATAATCGCAAGACTACTAGCAAGCCGTCTTCAGGTGATCCTTCCAACGCTGATCCTGCCACAACAAACAGGTTTCATCAAAGGACGGAACATGCTAGACAACGTGTTAACTCTATGGATGGCGCAAGATGCCGCCGAGGTGACAAGCAGCAAGGGCATGTTTGTCAAACTCGACTTTGAGAAAGCCTATGATAGAGTCGAGCATTCTTACCTCTGGGACACCATGGAGCAATGTGGGCTTGGGGAAAAATTCATCTCCCTAGTCAAGGGTCTGACGGTGGGAGCCTCTACGGCGGTACACGTTAATGGGGCTAAAACCTTCAGGTTTCCCGTGGAGAGAGGTGTCCGGCAAGGGTGCCCCCTAGCTCCACTTCTGTTTGCCCTTGCGACTCAGCCACTCATGACAGAGATGCGCCACAAGTTCTCTCTTGGAAAACTCAAAGGATTCAGAATAGGAGAATCAGTGTTCATCGATTACTCTCTATTTGCCGATGACATGGGAGTGTTTATTGATGATTCCTTCTCCTCGTTCCAAGAACTACGTACTGCACTATCAAAATATGAGGCAAGTAGTGGCGCACGACTAAACCTAGCTAAATCGTCAATTCTTCTGTTAGGAATGGACGGGCCCCCCGACTGGTTTCTGCTGACCGGGTGTTCCTTGATGGGAAAAGGCGAGATTCATATATATCTTGGAGCACCAGCTGGTCAGGAAATCACAAGAATACAGAGAGACGAATTCTGTACCAAGAAAATTTCCAACACACTTGGTGGATGGGAGACACAACTGCTTTCGTTTGAAGCCAGAACGATCCTACTCCAACACGTGTTACAAGCTCAACCCACTTTCTACTCTTCTCTGGTTCGACTGTCATCACAAACATGCAGAAGAGTGGAACAACTCTACAGACACTTTTTGTGGGGATACAACAAGGAGGGAAAAGCAAAAATTGCTCTGGCCAGATGGGACATAATGTGCCGACCCAAGTCGAAAGGCGGGTTGGGCATCAGAAGTTTCAAGGACACGAACTCCTCACTGATGGGTAAGTGGGTAGGAGCTATTTTAGACAAAAACGCTGGTGGTTGGAGTTTAGCATTGGCAGAGATAGTGAAACAGTGCCGACTCAAGTACAGTAGAAACATCATTCGTGGTCACTACTCCCTATGAGATCTGATACTAACAAATCAGCCCCTCCACTTGGTTGGAACTGAGGTCGGACTAGCTTTGATTAATTGTTGGAAAACTATACAAGCTGATATCTCTTGGGACCCCAGTGGTGTCCACCTCCCTGATTATCTCACTTTGAGAGATACTGTAAACCTGATATTAAACGATCAGGAAGGAGTATTGTCGAAGATAAAGGAAGTGATGGGCGAGCTACGTAAACTAAGAATCACGACAGTAGATACGCTATGGACTAGAAGGGTAGTACTGGAGGAGAAATATGTTGCAGGTCAGGTAAATCAAAACCTGAGAGAGGAAGGCTCTGTTATTCACGACTTTTTCCAGAAAATACTTTCTGCTCAAGGGATTAGCAACTCCCCCCTAAGAGCAAGTCCTGGGTGGAAGTTGAGAGGACAACCGATTACAGGCAACTTCACAGACGCTGCCCGAAATTGGTATAAGGGGAAGGTGCAAGTAACATCACTGGAGATCTACCTCAACAGAAAGTGGGGCACAAACAAAAGCGAGAAAGAGTGGGAAACGGTGTTTTCCAACCTCTGGATGAGCAGAAACACTAGTAGGGACAGAATCTTCATGTGGCGGGTACTACAACATGCACTTTACTCCAACGAACGAGCAGCCAGAATAGGACATGGAGACGGAAGGTGCCCAAGGGGATGCGACCAACTGGAATCTGTTCCTCACATCCTGTATGAATGCCCATTTGGGAAAAGTGTTTGGGGAGCTGCTGCTGGTCTGAAGTGGTCAAGGACAGAAACAACAAACATTTTTGTCCAGTCGAGACCCTACTATAGCTCATCGAACTCGGACTGGCAACGATAAAAGGTAGCTCTATTCCTGCCCAATGGATGTTAGTGACAGATATATGTAGACACTTATGGTTAAGTTGTAATCAGAAATTCTTCTCGAATCTACAAGTAGAAGTTACTGTCCATAGCAGAGTTAGAAATACCCTTGATAAGGCTATTTCTCAATGGAAGGAGTCAGCAGCTGACCCTCCA